TCCAATGACATTACTGTTGGGAGCTTTAAAACTTATCAATGAATTAATACAATAAGGCGGAATTGTCATGATAGATGGCAATCAATGATTAAAATTTAAATTGTTTGACCAATAAATTATATTATGGTAATATTTTATGAAATTAAATATAATTATATATAAGCAAAAAGATGCCTATATATATAAAATACATTCCTATAAGATGTCTTAAGATATCTATATCCTAAACCACCGCTGGTGACATAAAATCACAATACTATCTTAAAATATGACATAACCTTTTACGAGGAGTAACATCGCCGAAGTAGTTGTTTGAGAGAATTTAACTACTTCCATATTGTCAAAGTTTATATGGTAATAATTACAATGGATATTCTCAAAAGTACATCAAAATTTATTAATTGAAGAAACTTTTCGTAAGCAAATAGGTCTACGAAAATTCTTTGATGGTGTTTATTTTTTGTAGTGAGCTGAGTCAAAAGATATTATCACTTCGTTAAACTAATTCAACTAATATATAAATATTTTAAATTTATCCGTCAAAGATATTACAGCAAATAAAGCTTAATGTAAATGAACATTCATTAAAAAGTATTTGTATAACACTTAGATAAAACTCTGTATCAAATGACAAATGGCTGTAGCAACAATTACATGTGACAAAGCAAAACTCAATGATGTAGCCTTGAATGTATTCCAGACAAAATAAATGTTTTTATAACGATGCGATGTTTGGAATGTAGGCGAAAGTTAGGTCTATTTTTACTGCATATTCGGTACGTTCAAAAATAACCGGTCACCCGTCCAAACCGTGTTGACATTTGGTTACGATGTCTCAGTTCGAAAATATTGTGTAACTTTACGTTAGTCGGAAGTCAAATTTATGATATCATTATATTTAATAGTCAGGTAGTAGGTAGGAATAGAAATGGATGTATAAAAATAACGTTATTCTCATTTTTTACAACAACAATCTTAAGTGACAAAAAATATTATATGTTATTAAGAATGAAAACTATACTTTGTCTTTTGTCTTCTATTCGATTTGATTAAAATTAATTGTTACTCTATTCAACAAAACAGTATAGTTGCATTAACGAAGCTTCCCCTATATACAAATTAAACTACCAACTAATAATGTTTTCCTATAAAATATTGAAACTCAATTATATTCTCGACTTAATTCTTAGATCCGCTTTATAATCAATCCAAAGATCGTACAACTGTCAATGTGACAATTCATTTTGACAGCAAAATTCCAAATCAACGAATAGATTGGTTCAAAAGAATCTGTCATTAATTTATCGACTTAATGGAAATCTCAAATAATTAAAATAAAAATAAATTATTCATTTTCTGACACATTTCATTTCATTAATCAGATACCGTGAAGTGGTTTTCGTTTAATATAATTGATGAAACGGTACAACGGACATATAAATGCCGATTTTATTTTCACACAATTGATCCCCTGAGAGATAAATTAATTGAATCGTAAAATACTTTCATAAAAATATCATTATTCCTACTGATACTCCGAAGTCGTGAATCATTTTTCCTGAAATTCTAATATAATGATACATTCACTGAATATTTATAACATATTTGTAATGTTTATTTCAGGATTATGTGACTTTCCTTCACAATATTTTTATTGAGATTCTCCTACGTCATATTATTATTAGAATGAAAATTAAGCTGTATATCGCAAACAATTCGATAATTTTACATCCAAAAACAAATATAATAATGAATTAATGGTAATAGTAGCATTTATATACCTAATATTTAAAAATGTTCTAACATTAATATAATCAGAAGAAAACTCAGTTATAGTTTGAAAACTTACTTTGATTTGAATAACCACAAAAATGTTTTTACCATCATAAAATCAAATTAATTATTGAAACAAATACATATATATATTTTGATTCCAAAATAAATCGTGAACCATAAAAAAATAAAAACAGCATATTTACACTATATTTTAAAGACACTTGGCTCCTAATAATGTATTTCCTCAGCCAATTCTTAGACTTCCGATTTGGCTAGACCACATCATTATATCAGTTTCATAGAAATGTCGCCGTGTCAAGCTTTGATCATCTCTTCAATTTATATACATATTTACTTATATCTCATTCAGTAAAAATTAAAAAATGTAAAATAACAAGCATATAAGGAGTATTCCTTTATCCTTTTTTGTAATATATATGTATTCCTGAACAACCATAACTGTACAAAACAAAATATTGTATATAAATGAAATGAAAATGTAGGTGGTGAAGGGTATCAAATTAAACGGTTTTTAATCACTAGGAAATGCTCTTAATACTTCTGATGTCCAATTTATAAAAGACGTGATACTTGAATTAAAATTCAAATAGAAAATGTAGAAAGAAAAATTAATCACACGATCTGGATTCTTACAAAATGGAACTTGCAACTCTTTGTAACTCAATCTTTCGCTTTATCTGTCTAGATATTTACTTCGCTAATTTAAAACGTGTTTGAAGCAAAAGGTTTTAAAATCTACCTATTCCTACGTATTATTTTTTGCATGGACTAAAATTATTTTTATATAAAAAAACTTTTAGCTAAAAACATGTATAAAAGGTTGACTCAAACGTCAATCAAGTCAATGGCGTCTTTCGCGTCAGACATTTTATGTAACTAAAACCTTCTGAGAAGTGAAAAAAATCTATTTATATTCATATTTCAATGACTATTCTCTATAGATTGTAATATTTTAACTGATCCTTCTTGAATATGAAAAACATATACCTACGATAGATTATACAAATATAATTATTTAGTTTTTAAGAACATATTGGCAACATTTTCATATTGAATATGCAACATCTCAATATGATTACATAACAAATCTAACTCCGATGATCAAAAAAAACATTTATAACACAACACAAATATATATTAAATAAACTATTGTCTTTATATTCGGCTAAAACTCACCAGCGATCTTTCAGCCTGCCATAACATACTAATACACTTAGGACTTGAAGGGCCAATATATTATATAACTTTTGTATACAATATTCTTTATTATTGGGCTATCTCAGACATCTTATATCTTAAGTGCCCTCAGAATAAGGCCTTAGATATCTAAGTTGAAATATAATTTTGGTTAATACTTAAATGTTGCTAGAACCGCAAATTTTTTTGAAAAATGTGAAGAATATTGTAAATGAATCTTTTACGACTTTTTTTGACATTCTTTCTTTGGTGGAACAAATCTAGAAAGTAGAATCGGACTACAAATTACTAAGTGATTTTCTTTTCTGCTGTCACATTGGTTTTATAATAAATATAATCAATATCTATTAATACTTTTAAATAAATGCAAACAATTCATTAATATTGCCTTCGTGAAATTAAATTTTTGACAATCTGAACACTCTGGCCGCGTATAATAATTAGCCGCGAAAACAACCATAAAATAATATAAAAATATCCATTAAAGGTCTTTACGATTCACGTAAAAATACTGACATTTATTTACATTTTTATAAGTCCAACAATTCCGCAAACGAGGTTTGATAGCGAAACCTATAAACGTAAAACTGCCATTGTATCTCTCGGTCGTACCGAAAAAAGTATCTGTCTACGCCTCTGTTCTTGAATTTAACCTCCGCGACGCCTGTATTCTATACCCATCGGAGTTCATCATATCAAATTATATCTTATTTATATACAGCTAAGGTTGAATACACTCAACTTGACAATAATTTATGCCGAGTAGCCGTTTGCGGCAATAATAAAAAAGCTATTTTATTATATTCTGAAGAAGCCGCCCATTTGAAAAATATATTCTAAATAAAAGACATTTACTTAGTCGTATTACAGTAAAGTAATATTCTGTTTGAATTATTCTATTTTTATATGTTTAATGTTTATAGCTTCCTTGATAAATGTTTTAATAAAAAGGTTTTATATAAACCGTTATATTAAGATCATGGAAATAATAAAAAAAGTATCGTGATTTAAAAATATTCCAATAGGTACTTCATGGCATATCTCCCCCTTCCCCCCTCCCAGTATAATCCATATTAGTGCTTGTTTATCAGTTTTATAATTCAAGTCACTTATTACATGTCACTAACCTTTACTTATAAGTTAATGCACGCATAAATTTTTATTGCGAAAGATTATACTTAATTGATAGACCTGTTAGAATGATCGACTTCAACTATTCCATAGCCGAATTTCTTAAAACTATGCAATATAGTAATGGAGAATAAATATTTATTGCATAATGAATAAAAAAAATTGGTAGAATAAAAGCGGTCTTATCGTATGCAGGTGAATCATACCCAAGGTTAAGAGTTTAATACAACAAAATTATTTTAAGAAAACAATTTTTATTAATTAAAAAATAAACAATAAAAAAATAGGTATCTATCGTTTTAACTAATCTGTCTGTAATATTCAGAAATATCAATAAAAACTCTTCAATGCAAATGAATATTTGGGATATTATTTTTTTCAGTATAATAGAATATGAAGGTTTAGTACATAATTGTAACAATTATTATATTCTTTAATTTAAATTTATCTTTTTGTCAATGCGTCATTACCAATTTAAAAAAATCCAATCTTGGGTGCAACATACTTTTAGTATAAAATGTTGTTTTTATTTTTATAAGATGATATTTATTTTACCTACACATTTTTACAATATTTTTTACTTTTTATTTTGTTATTGTACAATTTACGATTATTTTGTATAGCATACTAATATTTACGTATGTTCATTTTTAATGCTATAAATTTTGAAAATTTTGGTCAAAACCAATAGTGAAATTATTATAACTAAATATTTATTTTTAATTAAAGTTTAAATAATCTCCAAATTTTATATCTATTAACATTTAACATGCATTCTGTATTTAATCCACTATTTTTTTAAACTTGTTAAAAATATATTTTTTAACGAAATTCGTTATTTTTAAATAATCTACTTTTCAATATTGAAAACTTACCTTCTAAAGCCATGAAAATCGTAGCACCCATAATACTATACAACACTAAGCACAAAGTCAAAAAGAAATGCGTGAACCACTTCTTTGACCATAGTTTCAATTTATTATAGAACCAGAACGCACTTTTTTCTCCAGCACTTAAGCCACTCTTCGCTGTATTCATAGTGAAATCTTTAAAACCTTCGAACTGCTTGAACATAAAATCTGAAGCTTTGTTGTGGTACATGTGCATGAAGGGGTTGAAGTATGGGTTTCCATGAGGATCGGATATATGGGAAGCTGGTGTTTGAGGTAGTTTGGCACCGGGATAATATTTAGTGGGGCCCCAGTATACTGATGATGCTGAATTTGGTCCCCTTATCTGATTCGGTGTAGGTATTTGAAGAGTAATCTTCGGTTTATCTATCTTCTTAGGTGGAGGCGGTGGGGGATGACTCGGTGGCACGTCAAGAGAATCCATTTCAACCCTTAAATTAATATTAAATTTCCTCAACGAAGCACCACGCTATCACACAGATGAGTTTTTTTTCTGTAACGATTTCTTATCCGTACGTCCGAGACTTAACGTTGTGAATGGACACTGTGATTATAAATACGACTCGGTTTAGTGAGCTTTATAGAAGAGGCGACCATGATATAATTATTATATATTTCATTTACGAAACAACAAATTCCGTACAAAATAAGAAGATATACTTATTTTTGATTTAAAATATTCAAAAAACTAAATAAATCGGTAAATAAATTAATGAACTCTATATAAATAAATGTTACTATTTATTTTTCTTAATTTTACTATCACAACGTAAATGATCCATTAATAAAGCTCTTAGACTATGTTATTTTCGGTTTTATATCATATTTTAATAATTAATCTTAATTCTCTCAAAACGGACGATTTAGCCAGATTTTGATGATATTAACTCTACATACACGACACCTGTTTCAGATATTTCATTGGAATAAAAGTAAATTTAAAAAGTATTTTTCCTTAACGAAAAAATATAAAATAATTCCTTACGATAACTTTATATACCAATAATCGTCTTGATGATCACAGATAAATAATATTATGAAAAATAAATGTTTTAAAAGCTTTTGAACCCTATTTTTTATCTATATTTTATGTATGTTAATATTTTTTCTTCACTTCAAGGAAATTACACTTTGACATAAATTCAGATCGTGACCGGTAACAGACATGTTTCCAGAGAAAAATGTTGTCATCAAATTGAATAAGTATCAAGACGTTAAAATGAATCACGTGAATATATAGATGTTCCGTGTACTGAAATTATCCAATAGAAATATTATTTTTCATTTATTAGTAATAAGGGAAAACCATTAAAACTATTTCATTAACTATGCACAAAATACAAAAGAGATGGCTGTATGGGCCTTATTCTCATTGGCTATCATGAACTGAACGAAATTAACCAAAAAATATATATCTACTAGCTTTCCGCCCACAGCTTCGCCCGCGTGGAGTTCGGTTATATCGCGTTTCCAAGAGCACCTTTTTGTCTGGGATAAAACCTATCCTATGTTCTTCCTTAAGGTCAACTCTATCTGTACACAATTTCATTAAAATAAGTTCAGTGGTTTAGGCATGAAAGCGTAACAAACAGACAGACAGACAGACGGACAGAGTTACTTTCGTATTTATAATATTAGTAGGGATGACCTTAAATTTAAAACAAAGAATATAACCCTACATAAATTATTTACCTCAGGAACTATGAATGAATCACACATATACACACAAACAAATACACACATACACAAATATAAATAGCTTCATTTAGATTTTAGGTATAGATAGCTTTTATGGGCCCCGCATGTCCCATAGTATAAGTGAATTTAAGTCAGTTAACTGAGTTCACACTAAAAGGGGTTGTTTGTGATAACTCTCAAGACCCTTCCTACTAAGTACTAACAAATGTTGTTTAGAAACTTCCACGGCCACATTCGCTGTTTAATATAAAATTTTGACATAAGCTCACTTTGTTTCAGAGTATGAACATTATGAAACTTTTTAGGATAAGTTTATTTTGTTTTTATTTATTTATTATATATTGCTAACAATTCTTTGTCTTCGAAAGAGTTTGTTGTTAAATTGATCTCTGTCAACCTTATTATTGATTAAGAACGGAGAAAAACTTGAGAGAATGTAATCTTTCCAACATTTTGCTCCATATCGGTATATCGTAAGTCATCTTTCAAATCTGAACAATCTGCCTTTATAACGTTGATATTAAAACGATTGATTGTAAAAATTCAAAACTATACTGTGCTACATTTATATAATTGAAAACGTTGTTATATGAAAACAAAAAATAAAAAAAAAATATTTGTTATAAAAATAATCCGAAAAAATGTAGGTTTTATCTAATTGCACAAATTAAACAATAATTTCAGTCGGGTTCTTTTTTAAATATAAAAAAATATATGAATTTTTTAACTGCAAGACACACGTAAATTAAAATGGAATGTAGACAGAACTTACGTTTCGTGAAGTCGGTTAAAAATATCGTTTGAGGTATTTAGGTTAGCATTTACAGATTTTTTAGTTTGCTTTCAACTTTAAAAGTCAATTTTATATTTAAAGGACAGAAAAACTATTGATACTTGTAACATACCTGAGCATGATGAAACATTTATATAACAATTAATCTCATGTGACTACCGTATCTTAAAGCTTATCTTAGCTGAAATAAACTAAGCTTTCTTGAGGCGTAAGCTAGCAAAATATTATTCTTTCAATTATACTTTTATGCGAAACTATACGACACAAACTGTTTTATTTCATACAATTTATCTACAATGAATAGTTTTTATTTATTTCTACATTTGGAAGTAAAATCGTTTTATGTATGGATATAATATTTCGGTGTCAAAGACGTAAATAATAGTTTATGTGAACATCACAGGCGACAAATTTTACGACAGCCATCTGCCAATCGATCGATCTAAATGCAGATGCAGATAACAACGTGTTTACGATGATATAACTGTACGCTTACTCTTAGTTTCTATCGTCATACATACGAAGCATTCCACGTTTGCATTAGATAACCTATGTTGAATGAGACGAAATCTCTCAGAATTTTGTACTTTAAATGAGACGAAACCTCTCAGCATTCCATGGATTCACCGTGTGGGTGCCGGATCCATCGTTGCAGGGAGAGAAGCTTCAACAGTGCCTGGGACTTGTGACCCAGAAGTAGGTTTAAGGGGCCTTTATGTAACGCTCATTAATACTATAGCGTGTGAAATGTGATAAACTAATAAAAACTGTTAACGTTCCGTTAACAGTGTGTAGTGCCACGATGCAAACTAAAAATAAGCGTACTGGTAAGTTCCAGTTTCTATACGACACTATATTTCCGGTTGTAAACTTTATATTGTTATACAAAACAGTTTCATTTTACTCGTTACTATTCCTTTTCAGTGACGTTGAAAAATCGGATGGTATTGAATGGATAATGAAGTCCAAATACAATATATTTTTTGTTGTTTATTTCTCGGGATAAACTTACAAAACCTCTTTAGTGCTTTGGCAGAATAATTTAAATTGTTTATCTAAAAGAATAGTATGTACTTATATAAGCGGATTTGTTTCAGTACATTTTTTATTTCACTCATGTTTATTAATATCTTTGACCATCGCTAGTAAAACATTAGTTTTAAACTTTGTCTTTTTAACAATACCCACGTTTAAAAGACTCATCATATATAAGTTTCCGAATAAAATATAATAACTTCACTTTTATATGCTTTTCTTTGTTGTTTATTTGATACTTACTTGCATTGCTACAACTAGTTTTCTTGAGTAGGAAAAAATAAATAATGACGATGTTTAAATATTTCCCCTTTTAATTAAAACGTTCTAGATATCTTATTTGTATTAAAAACAGTATTATTTACACAGATTAAAAAGCTCAGACAAAATTATAAAAATAAAAAGTATATATTTGTAGCATTTTTACCTGTCTTTTTGCAATGAAATTTAGTTTTATTTACTCGTCTGACTTATATGTGTAAGAATCCTATTTAATCACAACAAATTTGTCTAAAATACTTTCCAAGTAATAGTTTAAATGGTAGAATGTTTGTAAGCTTCTTTATATATCAATTAAAAACTTAGTGTGTAATGTATTTTGAAACCCACAGTAAAACTGTGGGTTTCAAAATTATTTTTTAAGTCCAATGTAACCATAATACTCAAACGAAGCCGCAGTTTGAATATTGTTTTATTTAATTAACTATGATCTCAGATTTATTTCAAAACAGCTGTTAGAAGTGTTGAGACACCATAAAATAATTTATATTAATTTTACCAAAGAGTATTTCAAATTGTTATATTTACAGCATCAATATATTATTAGACACAATATTTGGGCGCCACTGTGAAGTCGCCGTTCGAAAATAAAACGACTGAGTCACTACAACTAAAGCATATACTTATTAATCAAAATGTCAGGAATAAAAAGCTTTCGTATTTTGGAATTACCACGAAAAGTATTGGCAACAAAATGATGAAATCTGAATGTAGAGAACATTCGTTGTAACCTGAGGTGTAACTGAATTACGTATATCTAAACATTATTCTAAACATTTTTTCATATGTTGAACACAATGTCTGGTTTATGATGAGATATTTCCTACTTTGTGTAGTTTGCACGCCCAAGACTGACATTTTGACAAATAACCAATAGAAGACAAATTTATAGTACTGTTTTTGAGAATTCTTTGTGTTCATAATTACATCTTTTAGCTGTGGAAATAAGTCTATGCTTTGGAAATACTATAACCTTGTAGATTAATCAAAATAAAATTTAAATAAGAAGTTTCTTATATATTGCCTTTACTTATGTACAACTACACAGTCCTGTGAGGCCATATGAAACATTGCATCAGCAGAGAGAAACACTTTCCCATCATATGGATTATTTAAAACATTATTGAACTCCAAAACGAGACAATAGCCGGTAAAAATTTTTATGATCAAGCAATTCTTGCTATCACAAAAAATAGAGAAGGAATCAAAATGAAAATGGAAGAATTACAGTATCTTAGAGTGTGCTTGACGATTTCTCGTTACGTAATGATTTCCGTCCGTAAGGACAGTAACTGTTAGCACTTAGCTTCGCAAAGGAATTGTGCTTTAACAGCTCTTGCACATGTATTTCGAAAGTTGAGACTTTACTTTTTATAACTAACCTAATTCTGCAGACGTGTTGCTAAAATAAGTTTGCTAGCAAATAGCAAGAAAAAGAAAAATCCAATCTTGTAAGTTACATCTGGCTTTTTCTCGGCTTCAAAGTTTGACAAATGGATATTAATAGGATTTGAAAGGTAAAAAATCTAAATAAATCTGTTTTGCCTCTAGAAATAGACAACCCTTTAAACTGAAAACTGCTCTTACAATTACATTCCTATCAATTACTTAAATATGGGTTGAAAGAATTTAAAAGAGTTAATATTTAACAATCATATAAGTATCATTAAATATGATTACTTGATAACTTGTCCTCGATTCGACAAACATTACAAATCCAAATTAAAAACAATATTGCGTGATAAGTTAGACTCCATATATATGAATAATTTAAGTTACCTATGTACCTACATTATATAATTAATCTGGTGAAAATTAATTATTGATTTTAATTTAAAATCGTATGCGTTACAAATTCCATTTTTTGTTATTAGGCTCATATATAACATAAAAACAATTATTAATAAATATAAAATATAAATTATATATGAGAGATAAATTATGGTAAAACAATACATAGATTTGTAGTTTAAAATCCTATTTACTATAGGTACTTCAAACGTCAATGTGACAGCTGACATCTGACAACGCAAATACTTCATAACTACTAAAGCATAATATTTATATAGTTAAATTAAGTATATAACTAACTTAATCCGCCAATTGATTTACAAGAATTAGTGAAGAGCAACAATCACAAAGACCGTTTTATTTCATTCGAATTATGAAACGGGTATCTGTATATAGAAACAAAGAGGAAAAAGATGGAAAACTTATGGCCGTGGAAGACACGATTAAAGATTTCAAAAAAGCAATATCATCGGAATTCGATTTAACCGAAGATGATATAAAATTGTATTCATCCAATGGCTGTGAAATTAACGATATAAGAGTGATAAGAGACGACGAAAAACTGTATTTGTCTTCAGACATCTGTGATATTGCAAAAAGGGCGGGGAACATGCAAATATACGATGAAAAAAACGAGATATCGGATTGGATTAAATTAAACGTCGGTGGGAAACACTTTATGACTTCAAGGTCTACACTTCTGGCAAAAGAACCCTTGTCAATGCTAGCCAGAATGTTTGCTGATGATAATAACGTCTACTTAATGAATCCCAGTGCTAAAGATTCTACTGGGGCGTACTTAATTGACAGGAGTCCAGAATATTTTGAACCTATATTAAACTATTTAAGACATGGTGATGTTATTTTAGACAAGAATGTTAATCCTAGAGGGGTCTTGGAAGAAGCAGTGTTTTATGGTAAGGTAATAAGTATGATATGAATATTTCATTTCCTGATTATATATGTAAGGATAAATATTTGGCAGCTCTTTAAGGAAAACCTCTAAATATATTTGTATAAACACAGTTAATATATAAAATTATTTAAGTGTCAGAATATCATAAATTATGTTCACATTAAATTAACTTCTGGTTTTCAAACAAGAAAATGGGTATACATAATATAGTTATATTTTGTTATGTATTAGTTATGCTTGCTCGGTATTGTTAAAATAATAATATCATGTCAAGTGTTATGTCGGTAGATTACTTTAATATATTAGTCACCTTCATTCAGTTTGCTACTTAGCACAATACAGACATAACAAAGTTAATATCTAGTATTGAATACTACATAAATAAATAGATTTCCATGATCTTAATAAATAATCAATTAAGTTAAACAAACAAATCTTATCTTAATTTAACAGGTTTAGACTCAATGATACCACAATTAAATCATTTAGTTGACAAATCAATGAGCAGTAGCGGCAACAATCAATCTTTGACTCGTATGGATGTAATAAGACTCGTCATAATGACACCGACCACATCTGAGCTGCGGTTCCAAGGTGTGAACTTAGCTGGTGCAGATCTCAATAGATTGGACTTGAGATATATAAATTTTAAGGTATTTCTATTGAAGTATATATTTCCATATTTAAAATCATAAAATTTCTAATAATACATTGCTATGATCTCATGTAATATTTTGCAGAAATAGTATTCTTGAGAATAACTAATAGATCACAGACTAAAAATGGTTTCACTGTCATTTAGAGCAATATACACCTTTTTTAATAACTCATTCACATAAAACCTTTTTATCTCTTTTTCAGTATGCCTGTCTGTCAAAATGCAATCTGAGTGGTGCTAATCTATCGCATTGTTGTCTTGAGAGAGCTGATTTGTCACATGCTAACTTAGAAGGAGCACAATTATTAGGTGTGAAGGCATTATGTGCTAATATGGAAGGTGGGTTGAATGAAAACATAAAAATATTACATTATCAACTCAACTTCAACCTTGTTTGCATGGTCTTAAGTATAATTTTCAGAGAAAAATTGATACTGAACACCTAAATAAGATATATTATTTTATTAACCAAATAGCATATGTGACTTTGTACAAAATTCACCTTTATGTCATAGACCTTAGAGAAGTACATGGGATTATTTTAAAAATTAAACTTTCTATCCTGTGATACTGGGATAGTGTACTTCCTCAAATATATCCATTTCTGGCGTTAGTGCTTAAATTATAGCCCATGTCTTAACTTCATGTCTATACTATATTACTACAAAGTTTAATCAAAATCAATTAAGTAGTTTATCTACAAAAAAGCGACAAACATCCTTACATCTGAACTAATTTTTGTATATGTAATATTAATAGTATTCAATTCTTTCTGTCCATTATACATATTATCTTTGTTATGGTAGTTACATATAAAAGTGTAAAATATATATGTAATATTTTGTTATTATTTCTAGGTGCTAATCTCAAAGGTTGTAATATGGAAGATCCTGTGGGTTCTAGAGCTGTGATGGAAGGAGTTAATCTAAAAGGTTTTATCTCAATCTAAATTAATTCAGCTTTGTAAAAAGTTTATTACTTATTAGGTCCTAACAACCAAATATGTATGTGTATGTGTGTAATGACGAAATAAAATATAAAGTATATTAAATTCACACATAGTAGTAAATGGTAGTTTTCATTTATATAATACATAAATTCATGGTCATAGATTTCATATTATAACTTGACCATGAATTTGAGTGATTTTATTTATGATGCAATTAAAATATATCCATTTTTTCAATTCCAGGTGCAAATTTGGAAGGTAGCAACATGGCTGGTGTGAATTTAAGGGTGGCAACACTAAAAAATGCTAATCTACAAAATTGTGATCTAAGAATGGCTGTTTTGGCTGGAGCGGATTTAGAGGTAAAGCAAGTTTTCTTCTTATTGTATACAAAAGTTATTTTTATTATAGAATGCTTTCCCCCACGTAACAAGCGTTCTACTTGACTTTCAAATGGAGATTGAAGTAATATTATAGCTCAAATGTGATTATATTATTAATATGAGTTGTTACCAATTGAATATAGTCTATTGATATAAAAGGTACTTTACTGAGTATAATATAATGCCTTTTTAACAGTAGGAATGTAGTATACAATGGTTTGATTATATATATTTGTAATATTAATTCATCTTTATTAAATTAATGGGTTCCTGTATGACATTTTTAAAGAGATAACTCCACCCATTGTAAACTCCATTAAGTTTTTTCTTATACCAGTTATGCATTAATAAATATTTCTATTTTCACACAAATATTCTGTTTAAAGAAAGATTTGGTTATTAAAGTTTAATGCAAATGATTATTCAGTCCGAGTTGTGAAGAGATGAACATCATTCTTTCCCACTTCAAAAAAAAAAGACAAAATCTTTGAAAATCATATAAATTCTCATAATTTAATACTCGATAGATTAGACTTCATTTTTTTTATGTTTTTTAATACCAAAGTTATACTAAAAATATTGTTTTGTTTCCAGTGCTGTGATTTATCTGGCAGTGATCTCCACGAAGCGAATCTAAGGGGCGCCAATTTAAAAGACGCGGCATTTGAACTAATGCTGACACCCTTACATATGTCACAGACTATACGTTAGATTGTTATTATTTAACTGTAGAGAAAATTATTGTAATCTTTATTCTATTTATGTTATTAATTAATTAGGTAATATATTTAAGATTAAAACTTTTTTGGATTTAATTTCTTTTATTGAGTTATTAATAAAAAATTGTTTGTAAAACGTCAATTTAATTTCCTGATGCTATATGAATGGCGAGAGTTTTAGCAATACAAATTTACTGTATAGAACAAACTAAGATTAAAAAATCTTGTAGGTAGTTAATGTCATCAAACCTCCCCACAAACTCGAATGCTATGACCACTATAAAAAAGAAGTACATATGTATATTGTTTTTTTCATAACCATAAAACTGTTGAATGATTTATAAAAAAATCCTTACTACCTTTAACTTTATATCATTAAGATTACGTTCTGGTGAATAATTAGTTAGGTAATTTAATTTTTCATTTCATGAAGAATTAGTTTTATTTAATCAAAAACTTCACTACTGTAATTAATTTCGAATAAAACGCAAAAGCTAAAAAATACATCCCTAGCTAAAACCAAATTCTCAGTGACGACTATTCAATTTCAATTTTCAATATTGTTTATTTAAAACTAGTTTTTGCCCGCGTCTTTGTCCACCTTAATTTCAGAATTTAAGTAATACTCTTATATTTATAGCTGACCGGGGGAATTTTATTCTGTAGAGGCCATAAATAACCTGCAGACATTGAAATTTATTAAGCATATTTTTCTTTTTCGATCGAATAAAATTAAGTGTCCTATGTCCATCTCCTGGTTCTAAGCTATCTTCCCGCCAATTTTCAATTATGTCCCTACAGCAGTCCTTGAGTTATAAAATATAGTGTAACTAACACAACTTTCATTTATTTACATATATAAATTATATTAATATTGGAAACGTAAACGTTCTATCCATACAATATTGTTTTTATTTTATTTGTTTTTATAGATATAAAAACAATAAAAAAATATGTTACTTTAATTATAATTGATTTTTTCGCTTTTCTGATTGTAACAGTTTTAAAATTCACATCTGATTTATGTAAAAACCAAGTCAATGAATCTAGTGTTGAGTAGGACATACATGAGGCGCTTCATTTGTCCCGGACATGACGTCAAAATGTAAGAGTGCCTCGAAATTTAAAATTGTACTACTTCAATTTTTTTGTCGCGGTCGAGCGAGGCAGAGAAACGTCAAACGACAAGCACGTCTGACGTCACGGTCGTCGCGTCTGACATTATGAGCGAGAGAGAAATATATTGTCTTTCATGCGAGGCGAGGCGCCAGCCAGGAGGCGCGTATTTAAAAATTTAAATAGTAATAATCTTATCGTTACATTTTGGATAATTAATTAAAAAATTTGTTATTCTGATGCAAGTATAAGTTATATTCTTGTAAATTTTGATTAAAATCCATTTAGTAGTTTTTGCGTGAAAGAATAACAAACATACATCCATCCATCCTCACAAACTTTCCCGTTTAGTTTTAATAGGTATATTAGGTTAGAAATTTCATATTCGTAATCATTTGGTTAGAGTACCTAACAGACTATAAACACATAAAATTCATTTTTTATACTTGTAAGATTTAAAATATTTGTACTAAACATAAAACAAACAAACGACATGACAAAAGCACGTCGCGTCTGACATTTGAGGCGCCAGTATATTTCGTACTACAACTTCATATGGTTCAATTCGCCTCGCCTCATTTGAAGTGGGACATTGTACTGGCTCAGGACAAAAAAGAGGCTACTCTTACAAACTCTGTTTGAAGTCGTGTCCTACTCAACACTAAATGAATCTAGTAACAGTTGTGTATCGACTTTGTCAACAAAAAAATGAATAGAATAAGATTAAATTAAAATCTGTATGAATTTGAAAAGCTATGTCAGGCACATAATAGTCACAGTTTAGATATTATTTTAAATACGAAAACAATATGAACAAAAAAAATTAAAAAAGTGATTATTTACAATCATAAATTATTATTATAAAAAATTTGGTATTTAGCAATATTAACAATTATTTATAAATTTCATATCAACTGCATTATAATTATGCTTTGTATAAAATTTGCTGCAAAACGGAACGTTGTACTAATTTATATTAAGTTGGCAGTATACATTTATGTTCTTTGAAGTTGGTGGCATTTGTTTTTATTCGCGTTCTATTTTTGTGTGTGACGGTTCTGCCGTATAAAAAGGATTTAATTTTGCAAAAAATTGATGATTTTTCTCTAGATCATTGATATTTTTAGTTTTTCCTCCCGATTGCGATATTTTTTAAGATGCAGAACGGAGACGAAACTCCGGCAGCTACCGAAACAGGTAAAATTTTGGTTTGTTATTGTAAATAATCATATAATAATAAAATCAACTGCATATTTTTTTATTAAATCAGGAAATATGCGTATCAGATGCCTAAAAATGCTTGACTAATCGATTTCAGAGTAACAGCATGTTTTTTATAATACCCTCATTTGTTATTATCCATAATATATGTTATATGAAAATTCCTTTTATTGTTTAACGCATTTAATTGCGCGGTTAAAGTTTCACTTAGTATTATGAATAGTTTTACCACTATTTGGGCTGTTCTACGCTTGTTATAATTGGTACTGTTGGTGGATTAATTAGAGTGTGAAATATGATTCACATTCTTATGTTTCTGCCCACTTATTGTAAAAATCTGTCTGATTTATTAACCTGTTGAACACTGCGTTCTGTATTTCGATGCCGTTCTGTTGCAATAATTAATAATTACTTTAATTAGATTTGGTAGAAGCAGCATGGAATAATTTTACAGCTACCTCCATTGTAAAAAAATCTATTAGCCCTTGAAAAATTAAAATTATTAACATTATTTCAATTAATTTATTCATTTCATTTATTTGAGAATATTAATAAATTTGACATTTCTTATTGGAATATAATAGATTGAATGTAAATGATAATTTTGAAGAATAATAATTTAAATGAGGGTATTTTAAAATCTGTTTGGAGGGCATAGAATTTATTTCTTAGAAGGTATTACGACAATTTTATTATATGTAAGGTAATAAGTGCAACTAATTGTTTTTTTTAGTAATTTAAAACTCTGAAGTTAACCAAAAATCCCAAACAAATGCACTGAGTAAAAACAAGATAATAAAGTGAAACTAAAAAGAAAATTTAATAGATCTGATATTATTTATTAATTAGTTATTTAAAGATAAAGGTTAAAATTTAAAGATATATAAATTGTATGTACATACATATATACAGCATATATAATAATGTTGCATTCCGTTGAAAATGCATATAGCATCATTCTCTTATGCATATTTCATGAAAACAGCTATAACTCTATGCAATTAAACCTATAAGAAAGAGAATGGTTGTCCTCATCTTAATTAGATCCAAAACAGATTGAATTGTTTGAATAAATGATGAAGAAAATTTAAAATATTTTAGAAGAAGATTTGTATATGATATCTAGTTCAAAGTAGCATAATACTGTATTCTGGAGAACTTAGAATAGTTATAGAATACAATTTGAATACAAAATATTAATTCGGTATTTTTAATTCTATTCATTTACAAAAATAAATGTATATGTTAATTGACATACATTCAACTATATGGTATATATATATTATGTAGTGTAGCTGCATACTACATGAAAATAAAATAAATATTCAAATTCTTCATGAGACAAATATCCTTTTTATTTTATTGTTATCAAGACAAAAGTTTGTATATGCAATATTATGCTGTTCCTTGCATATTAAAGGAAATTGTAGAAAACAAAGAAATCCTTTATTCAAAGTCTGTAAAATAGACCGACTGGTTTCTAGGCCATGTTTTGATTTGATAATGCTAGCAGTATGTTGTATGCTTATATATTTGTCACATAGATCAAAATTTTGTATAATATAATATATGTATACTGTTTCAAATTACATATATGAAAATTTCATTCTATTCTAATCACGATACCAATTGTTTTAAAACAAATATTTTAAATGTGCGAACATTATAAATGGAATTCATGCAATATATACACAGTTGGTAAATAAAATTAAATTTCGTATTCTCTCATTGGCTGTGTGTTAAATATTACTTTTAATATGTTATTGTATGAGCAGTAACTTAGTTTTGGAATTTCTTTGTGATATTATTATACTATATAATGATTTGCCAAACTACATAAAGGAATGTAAATGTTTCATTGCTTTTAAAAATATATTTAAAATATATATATTAGACAATATTAAGTATTAACCATTCCATGTATCAAATATTAATGTATGTGTAACATTATTTAATCTCACATAAGTGAACCTGTGTATGTTTTTATGAGAATAAAGATCTTTAACCATGTATGTTGTTTTACAGCAAAGAAGCCTTTACCGGAGGAGGTAACGAAACAATCGTTCAGGCAGAAGATATGGCGTCATTTGGAGACCAATGGGCTGGCTATGTTCCCACGACCCGTGTACAACAGAATACCCAACTTCAAGGGGGCTTTGGAAGCAGCGGCCAAGTTGGCGGAATTGGATGTCTTCAAGAATGCCAACACGGTGAAGGTCAATCCTGATAAGCCTCAAGAACCAGTTAGGTAAGTTAATTATTTTGGTTGAATTTTCATATATTTAGTATTATTAGTGAATCTTTAGTTTTATATATAGGATACCTACATGCATAAATATGATATATATATTTTCAATTTCTGTTACAACTAGGTATGATATAATAGTTAGAAATGGTTAAAGAGGTTCTTTCACTAAAAAAGGTTTTTTAATTTTTATTAGGACTTAAACATGTTACGTCAAACATAAATTATATTAGGAAAAATTTTCAAATACCCTCAAAATAAAATTATATTTAAATATGCATCTTTTTGATATTTCTTGATTTTAATATTTATAATTTCACTATCGATTTGAATAATACCTTTTGTTATCTATAAATGGTTTAATAATTAAGACAAAATCATTGATGATGGTAACTAAACAAATGTATATGAATTGAAAAATGTTATAGATAGTGGGAGCATTATCAAAGTCTTGTGTTAGTTTACTCAGATGTATCGAAATAAAAGGTCAATGACCATTGACAACATATTTTTGGTGTCGATAATGTTTAAATTCGGGGGTTTGGCAAACGTGTGGGTAACGGCGACGTATAGAAATAGATCTAGTATAGACTATAGTTGATGTAGAATAAGATCGTTTTATGTATTACATTCGTCGTATGTCCTAACGATATTAGGACCAAATATATTATATAGTACATATTTATTTATTATTATTGTTTACTTTTTCACGTAATATTTAAAAATATTATATTTTCGTATTGGTTCTAATTGTATTTCATAATTTTAATATCGTAGGTAGTGCTTTACTAACTTGGCATCTGTTATGCATACATTTGCTGTATGAAGTCATGAGCGTTGCAATAATTCGAGGACGTCTTTTGAAGGTGTGTCGTCATACCTCTGACTCGTAAAGCCATTCAGATTATTTTAATATGAGGATCTATAAGGAAAACTTATTTTAAATTTTCCTTGGAGAAAAATATTGTTTTTTTTTTTAATTTAAATTACATTCGTACTCTTTAAAAAAAATCGTAACTGTTTCTTATTTTTAATCAACAAGGAGGTTTTAATTGATTTTCTCGGGTTTTAAAAAAGAAATAACATAGCGGCCACATTCATCAGTCAAGTAAGACGGTTGCGTAAAACTAAACTTAATTGAGCAACTAGTTTAATATCCTGTTTATTCGTCCGTTTATATAATACACGCTCAAACGCATTCTAACAATATAATTTACACGTGAAAGTGCGTCTTGGTTTTTCAGCGGAATTATTACAGTACGTTGACCTCTACGAAATATATATACATATTACATATAATATATACTACTAGCTTTCCGCCCGCAGCTTCGCCCGCGTGGAGTTCCCTTATATCGCGTTTCCAAGAGAACCTTTCAAAAGTCTGGGATAGAAACTATCCTATGTTCTTTCTCAAGGTCAACTGTATGTCTGTACCAAATTTCATTAAAATCAGTTCTGTGGTTTGGGTGTGAAAGCGTAACAGACAGACAGAGTTACTTTAACATCTATAATATTAGTAAGGATATAAATATTGAAGAAATGAAACTACATGCATTTTTAGTAAGGCCGGATTCTTAGCTGATAGTTGGTAAAGAAATATATATGGAAAAAGAAACAAAATTTTTTAAGCGTATATTGCATTATAATATCGAACATTCTATTTGGTAATAGTGTTGTGACTTGAACCGTAAAATCTATTCGATTCAGTATAAAATTGTTAAACCCTTTAGGACATTTTACCGTAAAACAAATTGACAAATTGAACCAACATTTTGATTAGAATTGTCAGAACTAAGGCTGTTATTTTTTCAATACAAGGTATTTCTATATCATAGTGTTTTTTTTAATTTTCATTCTTTTTAAAGTACTCTGTTGTTTGCAAGATAATATCACAGAGCCTTCTTAATTTAACAAAAGTTTAATACTAAAACTTTACGAAGGACAAGAATGAAATCTCTATATAGAAAAAAAAAATAGCCAATTACGTCATCAAAGCTAAAAATGAGTAAATCTATTACTCACTGTTTGAATATGAGAAACGACTTATGATGTAAATGCACAGATTGGATTATTCGTCTCAGCGACACTGACCCGCCATTCATACAGATAACCTATTAACCGAGGAGATGTTAAATTAAACATAATATAATATGTTGCACAAACAAAACAAACATTATGTATGAAGGATTATTGCACTATTAATACTTACATAGGATCTCCAATATTGTTATATTGATTTAAACGTTTCTAAACATATTTTTGAACGTAATATTAATAATCTGTATAGGATTTTGAATACTTTTTTCTTTAATATTCAATTTTTGAACATAAATTTGATAAAATATATGTATGTGTGGGGTATCAAGTTTGGATAAAGATCGCGGTTGTTCTTTAGTAATCGAAATTGCAATTAAGTGATTCAAATCATTTAGCAAGTACGACGATAATATCAAATATTTATATACAAATATATATAAAAAATTACTTTGGAGATAAACACAATAAAGGAGTTTTATAATATAGATTTTTTATATGATAGTACATAAGTTAATATTTCGAAATGAAACGTATTAAATTAATTTCATCTAAATATCTTAAATGAATGTAGCTTTCATATTTGACCTTTGCATATTTATATAAAGTTGACATTTACACCCACCCTTTAAATACCACACGACCAATAATATAATATATACATTTAAAAATTTATTATAAAAAATTCGTCAGCTTCACTTTAAATAAAAACGTTATTTTTACATTTCTCGGTATTATAACTTTATATTTTATATTAAAAAAAATAAGACAATACAGAAGAGAAGCGTTCTGAGACTTAGTTTTTCCCTATATTTTTGATATATAAAAACTGACATGAGAAAAACCATTTTATTGCTACAGCCACAACTGATCATGCAAGAAGGTATATAAGTACTTACAAGAATGTTTAAAATAATAATGAATTTCCATATTTGTTATTTATAATATCCAAAATGATATAAACCTAGTACTAGTTGCATACTATAAAAGATAACATAAAACTGAAAGTTTAAACTTTTCAGTTTCATATGTATAGTAAGCACACATCTCACTACTTCTATAGGATAACTAGCTTTCCGCCCGCAGCTTTGCCCGCGTGGAGTTCCCTTATATCGCGTTTCCAAGAGAACCTTTCAAAAGTCTGGGATAGAAACTATCCTATGTTCTTTTTCAAGGTCAACTCTATCTCTGTACCAAATTTCATTAAAATCAGTTCTGTGGTTTAGGCGTGAAAGCGTAACAGACAGACAGACAGAGTTACTTTCGCATTTATAATATTAGTAGGGTGTAACCTTAAGTTTAAAATGCAAACTAATATGTATAGAGTTTCATAATATGTTCAACGTATATACAGGTGTACTTAAAGTAATATACCTACAAATGTTCTGTGTTTATACAGGGTGCTATGCCTGGAGAAGCACAAGACTTTGTACGTGCCGGTTCCTCGCCTCCAGTCGGGCTTCTTGAACCGAATCGTCCTCCCGGAGGGTGAAGCTAAGCCAGGAACACTGAGGAAGGCTGTCTCAAGGAACGGAATGGAATCGTTTGGACAACCATTGAGTACGTACACACACATACACACACAGTTATAACATGAACATGACATGTTCGTCATAGATTTGTACTTGGTAGAAGTGGGAGCGAGATGTATAACAGCTACATCTCTCTATAATCTACTAAAAGATTTTTCCTGTCCAGAATTAACATTAGTTCTTTCTTGGAACGTACTTTGAATACAGTCCTAGTAGGTTTGTTTTAAATGTGGTTAGGTAGAAAGAGGAGCTTGGGCGGTGGAGGTAAGCATTTAACGCGCGTTAGATAGGGGCACCTTAAACCTACACCTGGGTCGCAAGTCCCAGGCACTGTTGAAGCTTCTCTCCCTGCAACGATGACCCGGCACCCGCACGGTGAATACATTGAATGTTGAGAAGTTTCCTGTTTCGTCTATCTTTGTATGATATATTTAAAAATAGTTGGTTCTTACTTCAATAGTAAATTTATATTTCAACGATGCTCCATTAAAGACGACATTTCGTTTGGCTATCAATGACTGCCATTTAGATATAATATATTTAAACATGTGGGCATACATCCGTCGACATTAGTAATAGTGTTTGTATGAAAATATATTTTATATGATAAATGGTAACAAATAAACATACACACATTTAAATTAATTAAACATAAGTCATCAATTATGTCAGAATTTATTGTAATTACAATGTAGTACCAACAATTGCACAGTGTCTTGAAACCAATGTCTGAATTTCATATATATTTTTTTGTTTATCTACATAATTGGGTCATCCAAGATAAGTGAGACATATTGAATTTATCACTTAGCAAAGATTCCACCTTATAAGTATAAAATGATCTTAAATATTATAAAAACTAACTAAAATATTGGATGAATGCATGTTGAGTCACCGGTGTTTGTCTGCCCTTGGACCGTAATGGTTGCATTAGAACCAATTCATTGTAAATTGACCGTAATACTTTCACTGAACTCATAATAGACACTAACAATAATACAAATTCTTATACATTATATAGTCCTTTATTGTTGTAAACTTCAATATGTCTTTGTTATATTTAAATTAAAGTATTTAAATCATTAATATAGTCTAAGATCCGGCTGCAGAATCAGTGTACCCATCGAGTGTTTGCTGAAAACCAAATTTTTACACATATTCATGATTAGGAGAATTTATATCCACCAGGTTGCCTATCAAAAAGTGGCCGCTAGTATTTTTAATTAAATTATTAATAATTCATAATCCGTAAGAAATTTCATTGACTTTTTTTTTCAATGAAATGTCGTCTACTTTACGGCAACATCTATAAAGACTCTGAAAAATTATGGTTGCCGTTGCGCACCTGGCCGCACCTCTTCGCAGCCAGGTATACACAGGTATGAATTTGTTTCATTTATACACCCACAACGTACATTTATAATTTATATATCAAATTAAAGCAAATTTTTTTCTGTATATTATTATATACGGTTGCTTAATTAAATCTGGCCGCCAATAAGGGTTGCTGGCTAATAAATATAGTAAATATTAAAAGTAGAGTGAAAGAGAGCTAGCGCGTAACACCACTAGTTTAATAATTTTTCGATGCACAAATAAAACAGCAATATATTATGTTGTGTATTACGTACTCCAAACAGCGTGGTTTCGAACTTAAAATAAAAATCACAACTGATCCGTTGAGAACACTAACATCTGACGCATGCGCAATGGCTTTAAACCGTCCGACAGCTGGCAATCGCTATCCTCGTCTGACTAGTGGTGTTACGCGCTAGCTCTCTTTCACTCTACTTTTAATATTTACTATATTTATTAGCCAGCAACCCTTATTGGCGGCCAGATTTAATTAAGCAACCGTATATAATAATATACAGAAAAAAATTTGCTTTAATTTGATATATAAATTATAAATGTACGTTGTGGGTGTATAAATGAAACAAATTCATACCTGTGTATACCTGGCTGCGAAGAGGTGCGGCCAGGTGCGCAACGGCAACCATAATTTTTCAGAGTCTTTATAGATGTTGCCGTAAAGTAGACGACATTTCATTGAAAAAAAAAGTCAATGAAATTTCTTACGGATTATGAATTATTAATAATTTAATTAAAAATACTAGCGGCCACTTTTTGATAGGCAACCTGGTGGATATAAATTCTCCTAATCATGAATATGTGTAAAAATTTGGTTTTCAGCAAACACTCGATGGGTACACTGATTCTGCAGCCGGATCTCGTACTAATATGATCATTCTATAAATTAAAAAGGTCTAATTAATTCTTTCTTTTTGTTTGTATAATTACGAATATCCTTTTTGTAACCTATATGGTGTTTGTTTCTCTAAAAATCAATTATAATTAATTTATGTTACAACAAGAGCATAAAAGATTAGTAAATTTTTTAATAAATATTGTATGACATTATATTGACATAGAAAATGACTTAAATTTCATATCATATTTGTTATATGTACATTATAATTATTTATCGCTATTATATTTCTTTTTTATAATGACATACTCTTAATACAAAAAATATTTAACTGTGATGTTATGAGTAAATGGATTAACATAATTTTTAGTTCTATCCTATTAGAAATACAACATTAATAGTATAATATACTTTCAGCCATTGAAGATTCGGTTTCCTTGGACTTGGTTGTAATGGGATCCGTTGCTGTCTCCAAGGAGGGATATCGCATTGGAAAAGGAAAAGGTATGAATTGTTTCATTAAATACAAATATTACATATAGTTATAGTTTCTATAATATGAGTCAGTGGTGGCGTAGTGGTTAAAAGGCCCGTCTCTCATGCATGATTGCGCGGGTTCGATCCTGGCATATACCAATGTGATTTTTCCGATTCATATGTACTTTCTAAGAGTATTTAGACATCACTGATTAATGCATTCCCAAAAGAGGGTTGATGTCAGGCAGGTGGTCGGTCGTAAAAACAATTAGCCAAAACTATTCACAACACGCAAGGCAGACCCTGGCTAAAGCTGGGAAATTGCAGGTAGAAGAAGAATAGTTTCTATAATAATATAGTAGATGTCACATAAATCGATTTATAAATATATATGGCCCAAAAAGTATATGTATGTAGTTTATAGTTCAGAAGTTATAAAAGAAATATGTTAATTATACATGTGAATATTTACTGTAGTATGGGTTGAACTATAATGAAAATAGTTTGAATTACAGCCTTAACATAAGTGAATGAACAGTTGTATTTACTATATGTTCTAGACGCCATCTAGACATGAAAATACAAAACTATCATTATTTATATTGATAACATTAGTTCCTTCCATAACAATTGAAATAGCGGATTTTTATTGAATGCTTCCAGGTTATGGTGATCTAGAGTTTGGCTTGATGATGCACATGAAGGCTATAAAACCTAACACTCTAGTTGTGACAACTGTCCACGACTGTCAGGTAAAATACTGTATATTATTGTATTTTTTTTTTCTATAGCTAAAGCAGCTGTTATGTTTCTATCTGCCAAGAGAGCAAATCTAAGCAAAAAGGTCTTAAATTTTCTTGAAGCATATAATTTTTATACAGTGGTCATTATTTGGCTTCAGATATATGAATAACTAGCTTTCTACCAGCGTGGAGTTCGGTTATATCGCGTTTCCAAGAGATCTTTTCAAAAATCTGGGATAAAAACTATCCTATGTTTGTTCTCAAGGTCAACTCTATCTCTGTACCAAATTTCATTAAAACCAGTTCAGTTCATTCGTGAAAGCGTAACAGACAGACAGGCAGAGTTACTTTGACATTTATAATATTAATAGGGATTTTAATAGTGTGGTTATTAAAGTATGTAATACTTTTCATAGAACTATTAATTTATTTGAACTATTCCAGTGTTGTCTTGGCATAATTCTTTATGACGATAGTTTTGGTATTGTATATATAGAGAGTTTAAATTTGGAATACTTGAACCTTAACGCTATTTTCACATTACACGATTTCGCTCGTGCGGGAAAAAATCGCCCGGGCAATTTTTCTTGATCGACTATTGAAGAGTACGAGACCTTTCACATTGCACGATTTGAACACGGGCACGTTTTGTAATCGTGTTGCAGCCGTCCAGTGCTACTAGAACCGCACGGCTACCGTATCGCCCTCTAGCCTAGTGGCCTACGTGACCAAATGCATGCTTTCACACTAGACGGTCTTTAGTCGTACGGGAATTGAAGAACACTCTTCAGTTTCCCATGTAACTCATCAAAGGAGCGAACTGACATACGAAAGTAGTTGAAAAACTTTTGGTCATCGTTTCTAAGATCTTCAAATAATGTGTGGAACATCCCGACTTCCTCTCGTCTCTGATCAATTGGGTGGATCTAGTGAAGGCGATTGCGCCTTTGTCTTTTCCGACGCCGATACAGTATCCATAACGCAATAACTTGTTCGCGATCCATAGTTTTCATACAGACCAGACCAAATGTTCCAATGAACTGATAAAAATGTACGATTTTTATCGTTCAATGTGAAAGTAGCAAAACCACGATTAAAAATCGGGCAATTTTTTCCCGCACGAGCGAAATCGTGTAATGTGAAAATAGCGTTAGACTATTTAACACTTGTGTGCATTATGTAAGAGGACAAAATTATTTGTAAGTTTAAGAGAAATAAATTATTTTCTTTCAGGTGTTTGAAACTCTACCAGCATCACTGTTTGGTCCACATGATGTGCCCATCGATATTATTGTTACACCAACACAGGTATGATATTATTAATAAAAACATACATACAACTATTACTCTGTGATACATACCACATACAATAATATATTTGTCAATATTACTCTAATAAAATCGAAGCTCCTAAAAACCTAACAAATGGCGAGATTTGTTGACAGATTTTGTTGTAGCTTGTGATAAAATATACATGTTTGTTACTCTTCCACGTGAATACTGCTTAACGGGTTTGGATGAAACTTTGTAAGATAACGAAGCATAAATATAAGGATAACATAAAATTTGTCCTGAAATTATACATAGTTTCTGTGGGATAGTGAAAACAGTTGTTTATGAAATCACGTGACACTATAGATGTCGCTAATAGTTGGTTATCCTAACTATATTTTTAACACATCTATGTACATTTCTCTTTGCGCTCAATCAGAAAGTGGATTCAGATGAAGTCAGGAAAAACTAGTAAACATATCGATGGGTCCTATGTATAAGGGCCAAAATAGCAATTTAGCCATTTTCATTTTTTTCACTTCATAATAATCTGTTAGTAGAAAGACTTCAATATGACTTCAATAGAAATCATAAGTAACACACTTTTTAACGTATAAGGACTTATACAGGGTGTATGAAAAACTATGTCAACCCTTGAAGGCATGTATACATATACTTATATGCTTATTATAAAATATAGTATAACTTAAAAAATATCAAGCAGACGTCAGTTACAGTGCATAGGCAAATAAGTTTTAAATCGACATTATTCGAAGAAATGTTCCAAACATCTGACTCATACAAGGTCAAGACACCGTATAGTCGCAACGGCGCATGCGTGACCATTGACCGCAGGCGCCGGGCCGCCGGCGTTATTATTACTATTCTGTTAGTTGTTCGAATAGAGATTTGAAAGTGTAAAAATTAGTTATATCGATAAATATTCTATCGACATTTTCAATATTGCTATAAATAGTTATGATTTTCACATTAAAATAATTTCATTTAAAATAACTTTTATTAATAATAAGTATTATAATTTGAAACTTGTTCAGGTAAATTAACTACATATGTTGTATTATTAGGATAAATCGTTAATCTATTTCTGTTAAAAATGGTGTTTTACAATCAAACATAATATTAATGTTTGATATATCAAAATAAGTATCGAAATAATATGAATATGAAATATTTATTTATTGTTATGATTTTTTAAATATCGATATTTTCAATAATGTGAAAGTAACTTCAAGGTCGTCACTAGTAGCGCAGCAGGTGTGATGACGTCATCGAGTGTCATCGTGTTATACCAGGGTTTACAAACATTTTGTTACTCTACGTATAATAATCATTTAATATTTAATTTTATTATTTTTATTGAAGAGTTTGTAAATGTAAGTTGTTTTATTGTGTTACATTATCGATACTGATAACGTAGTTAAGAGGGTTGACACAGTTTTTCATACACCCTGTATAATGTACATATACCTATTATTATAAATATATTAAAAAAACTAGTATGTTTACAAAAAAGTTTATCAAGCTTAAATGACGTACATGTATGTCCTAGGTGCTATGCACAGTTTCAAAATCATCAGTTGTCGTTTGTACAAGATACATTGAAATCAAATTTAAAACGCCTCTATTTCAAAGTTAAGTCCATATTTTACAAGAAAATGTCACCATCATCCATATATTCACAAAAATACATAAAATTTACGTTCCCGCCACTAATGTTTTGGATAAAAATAAAGGATTTAATACTCTTAAAAAAATTAACAAAATTCTGTGAGGAAGTTTCGAGGGCTGTAGACATGGCTTACACAATTACTGAATTAAGCATGTTTAAGTATGCACCCATCGCGTTATGTGACGTGGAGATATCATTCAGCAGGTATAAGGCTATATTTCAACCAAATGGTCAGTTTTCATCATTTTGATAATTTAAAGAAGCACGTCATTGTGTATTGCAACCAATTTAATAAGGCTAGTGTAATGGAAGTTGAATAAAACTTATTTTTCGTTGAAATAAATATTTCGCTATTTCGCTATCGTTTTTTAAATTTAACTTAACGATGTACGTCACGAGTGACCCTATAGTAAAACAATGTTTAATTATGAAAGTATTTTATTTTATACTACATATTTTTTCCATATTTTTGATTTTTTAATACATATTTATACGGGCCCTAGTAATATGTATATAAATAAATATATAATTAATCTTTCAGGTAATAGAGACCCAGCGTATGAGCCAACGTCCAGTTGGTATTCTATGGCACCTGCTGTCACAACGACGTCTGGAGATGATGCCGGTGTTGGGGCAACTGAGAGATATTGAGATGCTGTGAGATATTATACTATATACATATGAAAAATATATACTTGTATAAGGAATCTCTTCTACATTTACTTCTGAAGGAGTTATTTAATGTGCTAATGATGATAGATAGATTTCCATATTATATTTGAGATTTATATAATTGATTTTTGATAGCTATTTAATTGTAGCTATTATTTAAGTATATGAAAATTTATAGGTGCATTTATACCATATTTGAACAGATGAGAACTAAAATTTAAGGAGCTATCAATGGAATTAACTTAATGGGATGTATAATAGTTATTTAATAACTGAAATGAAGCAAGTGTCTCAGGTGTTAGGCGTTTTTTAATTATATTGTTATGAATAAATTAGCTTAATTTTTATATATACAGGCGAAAATCTTACAATTAAATCAAATTTTTCATATGTTTGTTATTTTGTTGCTAGTGCTGGGCGTGCTTGTACTCTTCGTGAGGAGGACAGCGCTGGGGAGGAGGAGCGAGCGAGGCCGCGGCGACAGAGAAGGAGGACCAGGAGCCATAAGAGTCACAGCGAGGGAGAGGTGAGACAGATAGAGAGAGAGAGAGAGAGTCACTTAGTATACGGAATATATAACACGTGCACAAATATATACTACAGTAATACCCCGCTTAACGCGACCCCGTTGTGCACGGTTTCACTATAACACGAATTTCAAAAATTTATTCAGATTTGGACATATTGCAGAGTATAGATAATAATGATGAACGCGCCTTGACCGTGTGTCAAACAATTAAAAACAGTGTTGGGTGTTATGAACTTATTTTAAAAGAACGTAAACAAAACGCTACCCAAAAGACAATAAATGTATTTTTTCGTAAAAAATAGGAGTACCTATGTATTGTATAGTGTTCTTAGAATTAAAGTGATTGATTAAACCGATTTTTATATTTGTGTATTAAATTTTGACTGTGTTTAATCCTAAACCTCGATATACGCGAATTTCAGTTAACGCGATTTTCTTCGGAACGTATACCTCGCGTAAAGCGGGGTTTTACTGTATACATTAATATGGCTCTGCATAGATTTATACGAGCTCTGACAGCGTCATAGAAGAGTTCAAATCAAATCAAAAAGTTCTAATGTAAAACACCACTATAGCATTAATTTAACGATTGTTACAACTAGCGCCATCCGCGCATTAATAATTCCACTGTAATTCTTAGATTTATTTTTATGATTCATTATAATTAATCATAATATTGAACCATTTTTATTTTGTAATGCCAACATTTTAGTATCAACTTGTATTTGACTATGAAAACTGGCTTCAGCCGTTTTATACCTGATACTAGAACATTGAACAAGAAATCGGAAACTTTATCTATAATATATACAGGGTGACTGGTGAATTACCATCAATATTTAAGGAGCATACTCGGTACATGATTCTCATTCGAATTATGTAAAAAAAATAGGTACTTAATTTTTGACCAAATTTCCGTAAAAATAAATAAAGTGTGTACACGTTCCAAGTGTTCCAAGTGTGGACGCGTGCGGCGGCGTGCTGATACAACACTACGCCGCCGCCGCGTCTGTGTGTTTGTGTGTATACCTAATCTCTAGGGTGTTCATACGATGCGTAATTAATTACATTTAACTTTACTTAGAAGTTTATTAATATTTATGTTATATTAATTTTTATTTTGTCATATATGATCGTCAAATATCACGTCCTCAAATATCGATAGTAATTCACCAGTCACCCTGTATATATATTTTCTTCAGGGTAACACAACGGAGGGCGAGGATGGTAAGAACAATAAGCCACGTCGTCCGCGTCGCCGCAGTACTAAGTCTCTGAGCAAGGACGGAGAGGGGAGGGACGGGAAGGAGGGTAGGGAGGGAAAACCTAAACGAACACGACGACCGAGACCGGTCATTGACTTCACTGTTAAGGTATCATATATAATATAATCATTATATACATTACCTTATATATCTTTATATTTATATGTGTAATATAAATAATAGATTCGTCAGAATTTTAATATACAATATGCCAGAGGTGGCCTAGTGGTTAAGGGACCCGCCTCTCGTTGCCGAGGGCGCGGGTTCAAACCTGGCAAGTACCAATGTGATTTTTCGGAGTCATATGTACTTGAGAGTATTTAGACACCACTGACAAACGGTGAATGAAAACGTGAGGAAACCTGGACTTATAGTTTCACAATTATAAGTTTGAAATCACCAACCCGTCTTGAGGAAGTGTGGTGGTTAATGCTCAAACTTTCTCCATGTGAGAAAGAGGCTTTGCTCAGCAGTGGGCTCTGATAGGCTGATGACTTAAGTGTATAATTTTAATTAACCACTAAAGTATATATTTAGTATATTTTGTTGATAAATACGATATAAAAAATATTAGTTAAACTGAGATTTTTTCTAAATTATTACTTAATTGCTAATGTTGAATTGTATTCGGCGTCTAAATGAATTAATAATTATATATAAAATTTTCAGATTTCAAACATCAGTCCCAATACTCGTGTACGTGACATCAAATCAGCTCTCTTCGAACGCGGTGTTAAACCACACGTTATGATTTGGAAGGTATTGTGATATAAATGTATTGGAATAATTATATGGAAATTTAAATGAAACTAATATTTTCGGATTTACTACACGTTTTTTATTTTTTTTTTAACTATAAACTACATATTTCCGATGTGTCACATCTCGTCTGCCCGTGATCACGGTTTCTGTAAAGCAGCCGAAACGTTGGGAGTATGTAGTTTATAGTCAAAAATAAAAAACGTGTAGTGAATCCAAAAATATAAGTTTCATTTAAATGAGTACTCGCGAAAATCTTAGATCTCATAATATGGAAATTATTCATCTAATGCAATGTTTGTTCTAGGGATTCCGTGGTTTCTGCTACTTGCATTTCTTCAAGCCTGGACCTCAAAAGGTAATATTGATTATATTATTCTAATATACTTATTGTTCTATGGATAAATTTGAGTCAAATTCAAGAGACAGTGATGATTTGTATAGTATAACAGATGAATTTCATTAATTTCTTACAATAATTACATAAAAAATTACTTAAAAATAAATATAATAATAATAATAATATAAGGAATAAACATTTTGTATGTTATCAAAAAATAATGTTTTGGGTTTTATCATAATAGTAATTATAAATGATAACTGACTGACCTGGCAAATGTTGTTTTGCCATATAAACAAACAGGGGTTGGTTATAAAAAAAATAGGGTTGTATGTATTTTTTAATATCACATATAAAAAATTAAGAACAACCCTTATCACTTAGGGGTATGAAAAATAGATGTTGGTAGATTCTCAGACCTATTCACAAAAATTCCTGAGAATCGGTCAAGCCGTTTCGGAGGAGTACGGAAACTAACATTGTGACACGAGATTTTAAATATAAGATAATAATATATTTTTATATATAACGTTTTCAGGGTGAAGGTGACATCCCAGCAGCGAGCATGGCCAGTGTGTTGGCAGCCCTGGCTCAGATGTCTGTCGGTGGTTCGGGAGGGGCTCCTGACGAGCGTGAGGAGAAGCCCCGTCTGTTGACAGTGGAGCCGGCGCCGCCGAGACACGCGTCCGCGCCCGCCGCCGCACCAGCGACAGCTGAGGCCGCGCCCGCGGTGAGTCAGCTTAATATGATTGAGTGAAAGAGACGGATAGATTGCATACTATGTATCTTAGACACAGATGGAATACAATTGGGAATGGGGGGTATTGTTTATGTGTATGAAAGAGATAGACATATGTTTGAAAGAGATAGACATATTGAGGATGTGACAGAAAGAGACAGAAATGGTATTTGTTTACATGTGTGTATGTGATAGTATACATTATGAATATGAATTATTTCAGGTACATTAATAGCAGAGGGCCGTGTGTCCGCCCGCTCTCCAAACACGCATAACGTCGCTTTATATAACTGCACACGGACTGACGGGGAGCCGCATTCCGATTAACAGAACGACGTACATTACACCACTGAATATATATTTGCATTTTTTGTACTGCCAAGTTGTTTTTTAGTCGAACTTTATTATCACCAGATACAGATATGAAAATTTTAAAATTACATTATAGAAGGCCTGTATTTGGTTGCGTAATGTACGGCGTTTATTATTTTTAGTGTTAGGTTTTATTTTCGTCAGTGCCGCGCCGGTACATCCGGTGTAACCCTCTAGTTTGGGACGATTTGATTTTTATCGCACACTAATAGAGCTGCTTTTTATTTGGAGGGTATTTTAGTTCACCGTTTTTTTTGTTTCATTCGCACGCGGAGCGGCACCATTTGTTAGAGAGAGAGAGAGAGAGCTATATTTACAAAAATATATATATGTATATGTATATCTTTATGAATGTTTTAGTTGTTTCTCTAGTCTTAAAATTAGATACTTGTTTTCAATGCAAAATACTTTAAGCATTCTACTGTAATATTAAAGAGATATATTTTAGTATAGATTAGATTCTCGTTTTGAAAATATAAAACCTCAAGGTGCTTGAACGAACGGGACTCCAAAGGATATATTTAGAAATTAGTTTTGAGAGGATTTGATTAGTTTTAAGAATATTTATTTTAAAGAGAGAAAAAATAGTTTGGATTTCCGTTCGACCTAGTATATTTGTGCCAACTTCGAATCATATTTTTTTTATTAATCTGTGGTAGCGAGTCGTCTTGGCTGAATATAACATATCGTTGCTTGGAACGTTCGTTGTCTATGTAGGTATATATTTTTTTTTAAATAATGATTTACTTTCTGTTTCAGTATTAGGTTATGAGTTGTTTAGGACTCGAGGAAATTAATATATACGTTGTGGAAATAATATATTTGATTGTTAACTTTGTTTACCGCGGCCATGTTCGCATATCCTAGAAGATAGAAGTATTTTATATGGAATTTAAACAAAAATGGGATTTGTATTGGATGTATTTTTTGAAAATTTTGGTTACATTTAATCTTTATTGATTAAACTTGTGCGTTTTTGCCGGGAATTCTATGAGCATTTCAATGCGGTTATGCGGTCATTGAAATGAAGTTGAGCAATGTATATACATTGAATATACAAGAAACGCGCAAGATATATCATTGTATTCAACTATAGTGCAGTCTAAATTAAAGTTTCCATATATATTTTTGGTATTTGTTGATTTGTGGCAGTTGTCATTTTGGTATGTACATATAAATAAAATTTGTTTCCCTAGGTAGCGAGCATAGTCTTTGTTTTTGTATTTTCTTTTTTTAATAAATATATTAAACACAGTTTATTTTTCTTTTTTTTTTGGTTTGTTTGTTTGTTTTCTAGCTTCTTTAGTTTTATACTGTTTTTGGTATCGGTAACAGAATGTTGTGAATTTTCATATTTTAAAATTAAAAAGTCAGATTCTATTTTTCTAGTGTATTTGTGTTTTATTTATATTCCTTCGGATGAAGTGCACTGGTATACCAAAATTTGCTTTTTGTCCATTAAGATTTTAGTAATCCTTTTAAAGTTTTCGTGCAGGTCCAAATTCTTTTTGTCGTTGAAATATAATTTTTCCATATTAACCCATTTAAGGGACTTCTGCAATGAATTACGCAAAATGTTTTTAGTTAAGGACAAGTTAAAACATTATTTTGGGATATATTTAAAACTAACGAATTTGTCTCAAATCTTGTCTTGAATGTTTGTGGTTAAATGTAAAGTAGGCTTAAAATTGAAAGAAATTGGCTACAAAGTACATCACTAGTGAAATAGCCACCTGACTTAGTATTTAAAATATTATTGAGTTTGACAGCCTTGGACGACATTAGGAGGAGATAGACATCTTTATTCGCTTCTGATGACCTATAATGATTTTTCAAAAAGTAGCAGAAGATCAATAGAACGAAAATTTTAAAGAAATTTGATTTATCTAAACAATCTGTAGGATTGTTGACATCAAGATTAAATAAATTTACAAGTTATTAATTAATTTACCGTAAAGTGAATAAATCGCTGGACATAAAACAATCTAAAAAGTAAAAATGAATAAAAACGGAGTAAGGATAAAGAATTTGTCTGTTATTTTTTATGAAAGAAATGGTATTAAGTAAACAATAGTTTAGATGTAAGGAACCCTGAGTTTAAAGCAATATGTGAATGAAAAGCTATATTTTTATAAAATGTTATTCGCGTTGGAATCGTGGAACATTTTACCAATGTCAATGTTTTTGCTTGTAGGAAGTACCTTGTGGTTATTTATCGATATTTCGAAACCTTTGAGTGAATTCTGTCGTTACATTAATGCATCAAAATTTATGACAGTTATCAAAGTTTCTGGGGGTAATTAATTGCTGGAGACTAACTTCTTTCCTTAAAGTCTAAACAGAAAAATGTTTAAAATAAGTTTGTTGCACAAAAAAAAAATAGTTTTAGTTTTTTTTGCATAGGTAGGAGGGGCCGGGGCTGAAAGTTCCGAGGTTCAAATATCTTAAAATTTTATCATGAAAATGATAAGATTTTAAATTAGATAATTGTTATAGTAAAGTCATTTCTGATAGTTTCTCAATATTTTTTTTTTGTATAAGCATTATTTCACAAAATTTCGGAAAGGAACATTCGACCCCTTTTTGGGGCGAGTTGTTCCATCTGTGGGGCAAATTGTGCCACTTGGAGAATATAAATAAAGTATAAGGATAATGTGTGGTTTCTTATAAATAAAACAATAATTTATTTTATGCAATTCTATAAACTTTAAATATCAACGAAAAACATTAATAGCGACATATAAATAAATTTTTTGTATTCATTAACAGAAAATAAAGTATTAGATTATAAATCTCACAAGCTACACATTTAATACAAAAAATTCTTACCTACTCGAAAGAATACTCGACATACCTAAACTCTTTTTATAACTAATCAATATCGGCACTTCCATAACAGAACTTAAAAAAAGGACAACAAAATATAATTAATATAATCAGTTTCATTTATACATTGAAATGGCAATGTCAAAAATCATTGTAAATGCAATTATTTTGGATTAAAATAACCTTAGACATGTGGATCAATATTAAAATGTGTTAAAATAAATAAACCTCAAGTTTGTTAGAGTTTTTTTTTATATGTTAGTAGTTTTTAACAACACAATGAATGGTTCAAAATTATTTAAATAACATTCTTAATACTACCTATTATAATTACAATAATGAATCAAAAGAAATATATAAATATCTAAAATAAAGTATATATTCCAAACACATCACTCATGCATATTGTTCAATGATGGCGTGACAAAGTGTAATAAATCAAGTCATGTTTATTACGAACAACTGTACAATTGTTATATTATTATCTATACTAATATATACCGCATCTGATGGTATCAGATTTAACATGCCATCTCAAACTAGTTATAAGCTTAAAATGATGGACAATTTGACTTATTTGAAAAAAATCCACAATGTTTATTTTTGCAATATATTTTCTCATATGCGCAAAATGTATAGTGGTAAGTATTAACTGTTGATAATTTGTAAATTTGTTACTGCTTCCAAACTTGATTATTTCAGTTAATGAAAAATATGTATAAATTAATTTCAGGCATCAGAAGAATACGTGCTTAATTTCGATTCTTCTATATATGTTTGCGCGGATGAAGATAGCCAGGCCTTTGTTGACACTTCAGAAATAGAGATCAAACGATTTAATGAAACGACAGCTATCCTGACAGGAGATATTAAATTTATGAAAGAGATTGGTGAGAAAACTATGGTAGGTATGACAACAACATTTCCTTCAAAATAAATAGTTATATAAGTACTTGATTGTATACGATAATCACAGCTTAAGAAAACGCTTACATAATGAGATCTAAGAATTTCGCGAGTATTCATGCAAATAAAACGAATATTTTTGGGATTGATTATTTTAAAAACCACATACGAGATATGAATGTCTGTCAGTTGGTCTTGTCCAAACCTACCTTCTCAAATATATCTAAGTACCCATGTTTTGTAAGTTTTTTTCTATCTAATTGTAATGATTTAACTCATGTTTTGTTCTGATTATTTCATTAAGAATCTCACAATTAAAAATATGTGAATAATTATTCACTACTTTGTCTTCTTTTGCACCAATTTACAATCTATAGTTGATATATCTTCGTAAATATTGGTTATTGAAAACGAAATCGAAAATTTACATCAGATTCTTTGATTAGTTAGGTACCAATTAGAGTTCTTACAACTCTTTCCTTTTTTTAATTACTTCCCGCCTCTACTTTTAACAGGTGGAGTTTATTGTAGAAAAAGAAGTTGGGGGCAGATTTGATATCGTATTAACGAAAGAAATTTGTGATATATGCGAAGAGATGAAGGATTCAGAAAGTTTTTACTACCATTATTTGGGAATATTCGGTTTTCCTGATGAATGTCCCATCGAACCGGTAAGTTACGTGGAGATAATTTTATATTAAGTTTTTAAGGTTTTTTTTTAATACTGAATATTTTTTTTTATATACTATATCCAGATATTTTAGATTAATTAATAGAAGTATCTATCTCATTTAATTTTCGAGAACACGATGTTAAAGTATGGTTAGTCTATGTTGGCATCGTCATACTACATGCGTAGGGTGTTTTCCATTTCCATTCATAAATAGTATTTAGGTAGCCTATGGAATGAAATATAAGAATCGTTTCGTATGTTATGTGGCTATGTAAATAGTGAATAGACTATGCCATAGTCATTATGCATGCAGTACCTTAATATGTACGTCCGAAGACTAAACATAGATTGTTTTTTATTTTTCATTCATTTAAATTTTTCATTCATATCCTTAGATAAGTTATGTTATATGCGAATGTTTATGAATGAAACGCTGTAAATTGCCCGATGTTTGATTATGAAATGACTGGGATATTGGTATGAATTGTAAGGATACAGTATTTTGTATCAATTTAACAGTGAAGTTGGGCTATGCAATAATTACCTATAGTTGCTATCTTTCCCTAATTGAACCTTAACACATATAGTAAACATGAAAATTGTAAGTAAATGGTCAGTTCCGCAATAGATAATATGATGATTTTGTTTTTGCTGCACGAAATGTAAAGTACAGAATAGTTTCGGAATTTTCGGAAAACCGTTAGTATTGAATACTAGATAGTGTATTAAACATGTTTATCTTAATTTTTTTTTCAGGACACATATCATGTGAAAGATTTTGTGGCAAACGCTAAAGATCTGCCGATAAATAAACAAAACGAGGGCCGTTATCAAGTTACATTGAATGTGTTCAAGGATTCTAGCGGAGAATGTCAACACGACAGGGTTTTCATCGCTTGTTTCAAATTGGACGTGATCATAGAAGCTATTGATGGCTAGGACACAATACATTTTGCAAACATTCTTTTTTAAATATTTTTTTAGTTTTATTTACGGCGATAGTTTGAAAAAAAAATTAGTTTACATAATAGCCAATAATACAGGCTATTTACAGGATCAGAAAAAAAATATTTATATAGCAGTGGAAATAAAATCTAATTTTCAAAACACTGCTGTTAATTATGTATAACCAAGTGATTATATCGAATTCAAATAAAACATGAGTTAATTCTTATCAGATATCATTTATTACGTTCTATTCATCAGGTTCATTGACATTATCGTCTCTGCTCGACTCATAGAAAACTTCCTCGTGTCCTCTTAAAACTCCCTCCTTTTTCGAATCCTTTGTATTTCTTTTCGACTTTGAATGCTTGTTATGTTTTTTCTTATGTGCCTTTTCGGTTTTTTTCGTAGTTGCTTTAGCTGCATCCTCTTTACTCTCGCTACTCGATGACGAATCAGAACCTTTTTTCTGGCCTTTACCTTTTTTGCTGTAGGATAATAGTATGTTATGGTTTATGTTTAAAAACTTATATTAAAATTAACTTACCTTATAACTTCAACATTTTCGTCGTCACTGTAACATGAATTGCATTGGAAATAACTGTGTTAGTTATTTTATAATAAAGAAAAATATATCGTACCTATCAGGCTTGCTTCGTTTCTCTTCACTAAAATAAAAATCATTTGTTATAAATGTACATAAAATTGCAAATTACGATAAAAATCATTATATCTGACCTTGCTCTATCCTGAATGTCATCGTCGCTGTGAATATTTGACAAAGGTTTTTATTTAACGGTGTAGCAACTACTTTAATATAAAAAATAAATAAACTTTTTGGAAACGAATATACTGGCCACTTACTAATATATATTATATTAATATATATATGTTTTACAATTTTTTTTTTCATAAAATTATATAAAAGTCTAAAGTTGTCATTGTATGCCGAAATTGTAAAACTAAAAAATTGTAAAACTAAATTGTAAGTGGTATATAACAAAAATATCACTTCAACATCAATATATGGAATTTATTTTAAATTATTGAATAATTAATTACTCGGCTTTGTCATCCCAATTGACGGACCATTCTTCATGTGTTATACCAGTACGGAACACTCTTCGGCAGTTTTCTCTGCAAAGTCAAAACGTGTTTGAAAAACTACGAATTAAAAAAGACTTAATAAAAAAGTGACACATTATACAAAAACAAGAACTAGCTAGAAATTAACTGAAAAACAAAAAAAAATGAGGATACTCTTTATAGTATTTTTATTTTGTATGTAATTTCTTTCCTTTCTAAAGACGAATGTATTTAAATTAATTTTGTAATACGTAAGTATAACTTCAATCGTAATATTTGAGCTGTTTCGAAGTATCATATCATTTAGTTGATAGTTGTATATATTGACCTAAAAGGGAAAATAATAACTTAACGACTTACTCTACGTCCTTGTTGATGGCACAAGATATAAATTGTCTGTTCATGAAGACGCTCGTATATAGGAAGGGTCCATGACAGCTGTGAGTTTTTGGGTCTATCTTGCAAGCTGATATTACACCGATAACTCTCTCCTTCCCTTGATATTTCACTACTAGAGGACCTCCATGATCGTTCTAGTATGGACAAAGAACACATATAATCGTATTCCATATAAAATAATGTAAATTTATTATTCAAATTACCTCACAAAATCCTCCCTGTTTGGTAGTCCGCCTTGCTGTATAGTCATCGGGATCTCGTAGGTGACGTCCAAGGTCTACACGAAAGTCTGTTCGATCATCGTTCAATTCATCGTCCATTCCTATACGTCTTGTCTCTACGTCGGTACAATTCGCGTATTTTTTCTGTGAATGAGTTTTTTGATTTTTAATCGTCTCACAAAAGTCATTTAACAAAAAATTCGACCAACTATAAGATAGAGACAGAACTATTAACTTATTCTACTATAAGGAAAATATATTATCAGAAAATCAAATTCTATTCCTACGATTTCTTAATAATACTGACATCGCATATCTCGCTGAGACGTTTCATCACGTCCTTGGTGCAGATCATATATTGTGTGATGATGCTCCTAAAACGCTGGGCCCACTTTTTAGCGCATTGCTCATTGTCCATGACGCAAACTTTAGCCTCTTGAAGGTATTTTGAGTTTGTTGGTATATGACCGTTTTGACGACGATAGACGCCCTTAAAAAATCATTTTATTAATCTTAGATAATTAAAATCGCTGTTCTAAAATATGCATATTTATAAAGTATTTTAAAATTACCTCTCTAAAGTTGTTACCGCTTCCCCAGCCAGCAATATAGCCTTTAGTTCCAGCCTTTTCAAGTTCGCGACTTATATTATTATAACAAACAAGATCGGTGGCAAACTCGCAATCTTTCTCTATGATTCCGAGCTTAAATGGCCTGTCTACTTTTACGATCGCAATATCGTTAGATGACCATTTAATACTGTCTTGGAAATCGAATTTATAATCTAAAAGAAAGACGGTTAGTAATTAACAAACGTCAAAAAACAGATATTAAAAGGTTTTGGATATTCAAGATTTTTTTCGAAGTTCCAAGTTACGATAAATTTAATTTTAATGAGTATGTTTTAATTAATCAAAGTTTAATTTATTAAACTTCTATTATTAAATGTTTGATTCAAGTAAAAACAATCATTATATAGGTACTACTAATTTATGGTCCAAATTTAAGGACTGCAACAACAAATAATTACATTTGACTGTACTTTCTAAATATGAATCTAAAAGCTTACTTTTAGGAATACATTTCCACACAACTTTCCGTCTGTGTTTGCAGACGCAGTCATCTGTTTTATAATCAAAGCTGTCAACGTATTTAGTCGTTCCAGACACTATATAGAAATGGTCCGCGTCTTCAACACAAGCTGCTGATGTTAGCACATAGTACTGATGCAATATGACGCCACCACATAACCAGCCGCGATATTTATGAGCTTTAGCTGATTCTTTTGTTAATTGAAGATAGACCTGGTTGAGATTTTATACTCAGTATATTTATATTTATTTATATTCAAATGGATAATATAGAGTGAAATAGTTTTTATATTCTAAATTTATTAAAGTTTGGTCAAATAAACAAAATACTTGAGTATAGGCTCAACATTTCTGTAATGTAACATTATAGAAAAGATTGAAACGAAAATTCGATGTTCAAATCTTTAAAGAACTTCTAGCTAATATTAGAAACGTATAATACATTAACGTAATTTGGTAATGTATGTATGAAAATGTTTTAACGATACAAGATATTTTTCTATTTGACTCTAGAATTCCCTAAATTATAGGGACTAGTTCAAGTTTCACTCTATTTATTTATTTTATTTGTATAGATTTATATTTAATTATCTTGTTTTAAGCAATTACATCTATTATCCTCATTCTTTTATGGAGCAACTACATTATCTTTGATTTAACTCTTACCATATAAGGTCTTTTCCCAGCAAGAACCCTTTTACTATACAAAATTCTTCTAGTATCGACATAAGTGGAGTTTTCATATTCCCAGCCTTCATCAGGTATTTCTTCTTTTAGTTCGCTCGTGCTATTACTACTTTCAACTTTATCCGTCACATTTGTTTTCAAAGTTGTTGGATTTGCTAAAGCTATATCTGATAAGAAAATATTATTATTAATAATTAGTATGATGATATTTTAAAATATTATAATATAGTATTTACCTATAACTATTAAAATTGAGACGAGCAAAATATTAATGATCGTCATTTTGATTGGATCGAACCAATCTGGAAAGACTCTCTTCGTTAATTTTTTAACTAAGGAACACAAATAATTTGGTCAATTTATTACTAGATTCGCTTCACTGATTTCAATTTTGATTGATTTAATTTATTATTTATTAGTACAATCGCAATTAATGTTTCCGATATCGAAATCTTAATATAATTGGAATTTACTTTTTATAATCTTATTATTAAGTATTACTTTTTTTCATATAAAATTAATATGAATATATAAGTAATTTTTTTCAACAATAGAAATATATAATTATTAATAAAAAATACATTTGTTATGTAAAATTTTAAGCGAGAATAGTTAAAATTCATAGGTTATTTACTTATGTCACCAAAATCCAAAATATTTTTTGACAATACTGAAGATTAAATAACTTTATATAACATTCTTAAACATTGTAACTTTTTCTTATATTTGATTTATAATGTTTAGGAAAATAAGAGAATGTGATTTATTGAATATATATCTTTATTAGGAACAATAAGTGATCAAGCTTTCTTGGTAGCATTAACTACTGAAGCTGGTTTCGCGTCATTTTCTGGTCTTAATATGAAGCCACTACCAGCGAAGACTTTGTCTGCTTCAGAATTCTCGTTCGCTCGTTGAACTATGTTTTGTACTTTCGCTTTACCAGGCCCGAGCTCATTCTTGGCTGGTCTAAAAAAAAATTCCAAAACATTAATTAATTTAATCAATAATTTTTGCATCTATAATGTAAGGTTTACCCGTCAGGATGATTTTTCCATGACAGTACTTTCTCGACGTGAGTAACACCAGATCTAAATTGTCGTCTACATTTTGGCCTGAAATAATAATGTTTTTACTAATAGTTCTGAGTTTTAAACCAACAATTATCTTTTATATATCATTTAACTAACTCAACATCTTTGTAGATAGCACATGAAATAAACTGTCTGTTTTTATAAATGCTCGTGTAAAGGAATGGACCATAGCATTTATTTGTTCTCTCTTTCACGAGACATGCCGAGATTATTCCGATAGCTACAGAGTTTACCCCTGTACCATAAACTAATGGGCCACCATGATCGTTCTGTTGACAAAACATGAAATATATGTAGATATAATGAGACTGAAATGACAAAAATATTATTTGGCGTTCATAATCGTAGCATTCTACCTCACAGAATCCACCATCAGCTTGTGATGTAAATCGTCTGCTATCATTATGATATGCTGAGTGCATTGAAAGATTTGTAGGAACTTTGTCCTTTTTCTGGATTCTTGTATCTCGTCTGGCATCGTCTTCGTCGGAGTAGCTTATATCTTGACAGTCTACGTACTTTTCCTTTAAAAAATAGTATTTTTTTAATATATCCTTCAAATTATTGTTAAAATTTAAGGTAACAATATCATACATTACAAATTTCAGACATCGTCTGTCCTATATCTTTGGTACAGATCATGTAGTTCTCAATGATGTTATGGTATCTCGCTCCCCATCTTCGTTTGCATCTGTTCTTGGGTATTATTTCCACGTGAGTTTCTAGAAGATTCTGCTGATTGTCCTTTCTTCTATTTACCCACTGTTAAGAAAAGTCCCATAACAATAAAGATATAGCGTATACAATGTATTTATTATTTGAAGTTTTATCTTACATCGTTATATCTCGATGTGGTTCCCCATCCAGCGATAGATACAACAGTTCCAGGATTTTCTAACGTTTGACTTTGGTTATTATAACAAATAGGTTTAGGTACAAAGTCGCATCCCCTGACCCGTCTACTAAAGTCAAACCCATCTTCTATTTTCACAACAGCGATGTCGTTATTCATCCACCTAATATTGTCGTTTTCGTGACCATCGAAGACATAATCTAAAAAAACCCGATTCATGTAAAAGTATTCTAATGAAAATTTCAATATTAAACGAACATACTTTTCGGTACGCATTTCCAAATAGCTTTCTTTGCACCGTTTTTGATGCAAGGATTATTATATCTGTCATCTTCATCTGAATATCTGAAACATTAAAGCATAAAACAGTTTTCATTACTATATTTTGTTAAAGTTTTGAATACACTTGTAACTTTTCCGTACTTATACGTTCCGGATACAACATAAAAATGTTCAGCATCTTCAATACATGCGGCTGATGTTAAGATGTACTCTTCATGAATGATCACACCTCCACATAACCAAGATCTATAATTTTGTGTCTTCTTGCTATTCCTTGGTAATTTTAGATATACCTGAAAAGAAAGATTTTACATTTAACTTGATTTTTGATTGGCCAGTCATATTTTCAGTCATATTTAGACAATTTTCTAATGTACTACTTTTAATACTAATAATTTGAATGTACTGATAGGTATTATGACATAATATGTTTCGTTTTAGTCCAAATCACTTGCATTCTAGTTTTAAGGACAAAGCTACATTCTCTAAGTTAATAATAAAAGTATCTTCTATTACCATGTACGGTCTACCGTCAGTAACTTCGTCTCCATTTATAATTCTTCGAGTTTCATTGTCTTTAAGTAAATTCTCAACTACTCGTGGTATGTGAGTCGCTATTTCAATTGCGTCTGTATCTAGAACTAGGAAAATATGAAATTTTAATGTAGTTTCCATGTAGTTTACTGAGGCTTACAGAAAGTACATGGAACATTTTAAATTTATATGTCAATCAAAGCTTATATTTCTAGATTTTTTAAGATGTAAAGTTCATTGGTTTGTAGAGTCTTTAACAATAAATGAACATGTTACTTTTAGTGTCATGAGTAGGTACTGATACCGGCTCAAAATATTTATCAATTAATAATAAAACTCTAACATATTACATTGACAAAAACTACATATAAAGTATTAGTAACTAGTGCATCTTTTATCTATCAAATTATAAAATATCTTACCGAGGACAAATAAAATTTTAAAAACAGTGAAATAAAAGAGCTTCATTTCTATAACACCTTTTATGACGCGGACAATGTAGTAAAGAAAGAAATTTTAATTATACGCTTTTGTTTATTATTTGCCTTCTCAATAATAATAATAATAATTGAAAATGAATTACGTATGAATGAATTTTATGAATGAAATTCAATTATTTTCTTATCCGGCATATTTTTTACAATTAATGACTGAATCACGAGATGGTATACTCTGTTACAAAGATTAGTTTACACTTCAATATAATATCTTTCCTAGCATTTTTTTATTTAATCTATACTCGAATAAATATTCCTATTAAAAAAACCATTGTTCCCAAACTTGTAGTAGAATTGAAGGAAATAAATTGTTTTTTTGATTCAATTACATAGTTTTAATAATATTATAAACTTGTCATGCCTTCGATTCAGACAAAATCGCCGTTCGCAATGAATATTTACAATAAAGTTTTTAGTCTAGATTATTTCTTGAAATTAAATAGCATATCCTTAAATCTATTTTTAGGCATTGCTCTATATTTTCGGAAGAAACTTACTTCAGTTAATTCGTTTTCTAATAATCCGAGGATGATTATTATTATTAATAAAGAAAAAATATATGAGTAAATATTCAAATAGTTTTTAGGTATTCCAAAATTAATATTGCATTTGCTACCTCTGAAATCGTTAGGATATTTGTAGATTTATAATATTTAACCCACAAGAAGAGTTTGCTTTTCAAATTATTTACCCAGCACAAAGACAGTATACCGATATCTTAACCACAAAGTAAAGAAAAGGAGTATTTATGTTGACGTCTTTATATGTGTGTGTCTCTAGGACTATAGCTCCCAAACTAGGTTTCAAAGCGGTTTTTATAGTTAAAGGCGGTCTCGTTTGTCCAGCAGTGTAAGAGGATCAACTCTTTTTCATAATCATGTCATACACATTTAGCATAAAATTACTCGATCTAATGCTTCATAAATAACAATATAGTAAATAACAATAAATTCGTTGTGGGTTTTTGAAATTAAATCAAAATGTTTTATTATTGAAAGTCTGTTTGACTAAGGTTCAATATTATTGTTTGGTAACTTTTTAAATGAAAATAAAAACATTTTATTGTTTTTTTTTTATTTCAGTTATCGTCTGGTTGTATTAGTATTTTCCAATCTTTTATCGAATTCTTCACTCTCTTCAAACGCTCTTAATACGACACCGCCATGTTTAATAACTTTGTCTAAAGGCGTATTATGTTCAGTTCTGTTAGACTTTAACGTATTATTTTTGATTTTCTCTTCTTCTGTACGCCTCATTTTTGATATTTCGTTTTTGGCTGGGCTGGAATATATAAATGAATATAAACGTTTAAAAATATATGAGTTTCATTTAAATATTTAAAAAAAGTAACTACCCATCAGGATGATCAGCCCAACTTATGTGCTCTTCAACGTGAGTGTCGCTAGCTCTAAATAGTTTTGTGCAGTCACCTCTGAAATAAATATGAAAAATTTATCCAAACCAACTTCTTCTAAAATGCAAAAAAAATTCTTCAAACAAAACTGAATTGATTGCCAAAAAATTAAAAATACGTACGCAATATCCTTGTAAATGGCGCAGTTTATGAGCATGCGGTTCTTGTAGACGCTGGTATACAAGTAAGGTCCATAGCATTTGTTGGTCCGTTCTTTGACAAGGCAAGCTGATATGATGCCTATGACTATTGCACTGGAACCCTGCCCATAAACTAATGGGCCGCCGTGGTCGTTCTGTTTATGATGGTTATTTAGTTATAATTAAATATGAATAGAGCGAAAGGAAGAACGTAAAAATGTTGGTCTCCATTTGTAGAATTTACATTTATTACTAAAACTTTACCTTTCTTTTTGACACTCTTCTGAATTCATACTCTTTGTTAGGTTTTTTTTATTCCTCTACTAAATATTTTATGATTTCATACAGTACCAAGAAAATAACTTTCATTTACAATTAGGTGTTTGCTAATAATATTCAGATAATGTCTTTTACCTCACAAAATCCTCCACTCGCGGCCTCTTGTCGTCTCCCTGATTCGTTATGAAAAGCAGAGTGAAGTCTCAACTCACTCGGATCAACTCTTCGTGATTCTTCCATAGAATACATTATGTCTGTACACTCAACATATTTCTCCTTATCGTGCAAAAAAATGGGATATTAATTTTTTTTGCTAACAGTTCTCTAAACCGACTTAAATGTGACAATATTATATATGGTGTATAAACATAGGTATTACTTTGTATTGGTCATATTTGTCAAGCAGAGATGATTTACCATTTATCAAGTACATTTTGTTCACTTTAGGACAAATGAAGAATAATGTATGTCTGTTTCTTTGTCGGAAGTATAACCTAAATTACAACTTACGTTACAAACTTCGCTTAGCTCTGGTATGGTGTCTCTAGAGCAGATCATATAATTATCTATAATACTGTGGTATCGAGGACCCCATTGACGCTTACAATTGTTCTTAGTTATAATAACAACATCTGCCTCTAATAGATCTTGCGTTGTCGACGAACCTCCTTTGTTAACCCACTAGAATTACATTAAGTTACCTAAGTAAATTATTACCAACAGAAAATTAGACATACTAAGTTTTTGCGAACAAAACACAAAGAGAAATCAAAAATTTGTATGGAAATGGAAGATATACATCATTGTATTTATCAGTGCTGCCCCATCCGGCTATTGAAGCCACATTCCCTGGTTCTTCATAGCGACTAGTTTGATTGTTGTAACATATCGGTCGAGGAACGAAGTCGCATCCTCTCACACGACGATTAAAGTCAAACTCGTCTTCAACTTTGACTATCGCTATGTCGTTGTTCATCCAACGTATATTGTCGTTCTCATGGCCATCGAACACGTAGTCTGTGTCATAAAAAAAGTTTTTTATATAGCACATATACGTTAGCCTCAGTAAAATTGTACATACTTAGATTAATTTTAAGGACTACTAATTTAGGGCCCATAGAGTACTGTTATTATGTCGAGAGGATAGTTTTTATAGCTTATCTTCGTGATTTTTACTTACTTCTTGGAATACATTTCCAAATAGCCTTCTTTGCGCCATTTTTGAGACAGATATTATTAAAACGATCGTCTTCATCGTTGTGCCTGGCAAATAAATTAATATTTGATTCCTTACTCATGCATAATTTTATTATATGTATTACCTGTATGTGCCAGATACAACATAGAAATGTTTTGCGTCTTCTATACAAGCGGCAGATGTTAGAATATATTGCTCATGTATAATCACACCACCACATAACCAATGACGATAGTTCTTGTATTTGGGATTATTTGACGGTAGTTTTAAATAAACCTAGAATGATTAAGATTCTCATAGTTTTATGGGCAGTTTTTTGGATTATATTAAAATTTATTGTTTGAAGAGTTATATTAATTTAAGTCATACCATATATGGTCTATTATTATGAGATTCCACTCCTGCTATGATTCTTCTAGATCCATTTAAATGAGCTCTTATTTCACTTATATTAGTTTTGTGTAAAACTTTCTGCACGTCCAATGGGATTGTTGTTACTACATCGATTGAATTAACTACTACAAAAAGAATTGAGATGAATTGAAATGAATAAAATAAGAAAGAAATATATATAAAAGAGAATTGATGAAATTAAAGCTAGGGCAAGGCATTAAATAATTTAAAGATATTTGTGTGCATGATAAACTGCTATAAATGTTAGATTTAGGGACAAACTATTTTGATAAACATTTACATATTGTATATATATAATTATTACTTAGTATTACATGCAACTAAATTCTTTTCCACAAACTATAACTCCGACTTAAGACATACACATAAATTGTCAATACATACCAACGGTGGAATATAACAAAATATATATTGAATAAAAAAATGTACAACAAATGTGTAACTTCATGACTATTTGTATTGTAAAAGACCGGAGTCATATTGTAATGATAACTTTTAATTGTAAGTCACGGTTTGTGAACAGTAATTGATTTGCATTGTATAGCACGTGTATATTTAAATCGTGAATTTGTTTAACTAATTGATTTTAATTTCGTATATAATATTTGTTTTTATAAATTTCTCAGTTCATAATACATAGAAACTTAATTTTGTATGTTATTTTTAATTATTTATCTATTGTTTCGAAAAGGCTTATATTCGTTCATTAAGGTATTATTTAAGGCAGAAAGAATCGTAACAAATTCTTTGCTATTCAGGAATCCAACATTTGATATTTATCAATGAAATATATTTTTGGTATATATTAAATGAAACTAAATATTTCTAATACTTTTTAGGACTTTATTTTATTTATATATTATTTCAACGAAATGTCCTTGCTTGTTTCTTAATCGTTGTCAATCTTGATTTTGATGGTTTGATGTTCTTTTGTTTTTGGGTGTTCTTACTAGCAGATGAGACTTCACTCTTCGCTGGACTGAAAGGATTATTTAAATTAATGAAATATACCAAAATCGTTACAAAAAGTAATCTTAGTATATTTTTTACCCATCAGGATGAGTCCTCCAGCTAAGCTTTGTTTCTACTAAAGGTGTTTTCAACGATCTCAATATTCTTCGGCAGCTAGACCTTTGTTTAAAATTAAACCTAAGTTTAGATTAAAATATGTATGACATAGGTTTTTCATTATAAATTATGTAAGAAACTGTAAAATATTGTATGTAATTATTTATTCAATGGTAAAAGGTTTCAATCTTTAAGGACGTCTTATGTTTTGTTCCATGTATCTGTACTGTCATAGTGACAATATTTCAGTGAAAGGGAAATGAACATAGAAATTCATCTTAGTATAAAATATACTTTCTGCGAATTGTGAAGTTTTTGTATGTTATGTGGACATTTATTAGGCACTAAATTCTCATCATTCATTCACTGTAGCAACAATTATTTTTTTGTATACCTTCTATGTCAAAATGTTACATGATTCGAGTAAAGTCAAAGATAAATTTCAAACTTAAATAAGAAAAACCTATTTTATTCTTAATTGCTTGATAAATATAGTAAGAGAATCTTTATCAATCACCCTTGATCCTTATCAATAGCGCAGCTGATAACGTGTCTGTTTTTCCAGACACTGGTGTAAAGGAATGGTCCGTAACACTTCTGTGTTATGTTGGCTGACATACAAGCTGATATGACACCGATAACCACAGAGCCTTTCCCGTGACCGACAACTAGAGGCCCGCCGTGATCATTCTATAATATACAATAGATACATCAACAATTTCTATACATGGACTATTATACCTAATGGAATATCACATATTAGGCATATAGTCCAATATGAGAAATAAGTAAATAAATTAGTAAGAAATGACGTAACATTTTTGGGTTAAAGTATTGGATTGACTACTTTTCTAAGATTTAAATGATGATCCTGTATAATCATCATGGTAATGTGTTCGTATCTATGAAATATTTTTGTAGTTATATTGCGTTGAAATATCAATATTATGAATTTCAATTAGACTTTATTATAATGATGTGAATTTTGAAATAGGATCAGGTGTAAAAATTATCTGAAAAAACTGACTGTGTAAGGAATCTACATACACATATATACCATTTAAAAGATAATGTTTAAACAGCAATATTGGTTAATATGAAAACGTTTTAAACTTTATTAATTACTTAAACACAATTCTTCTATTTCCTATTCTAATACTCACTCATTACCCTAATAACTAACTAATTAAGATGTATTTTTTATATCTACAACACTAGAATAGATCAAGCAACTTTTTAATAAGAATCCTTTAGTTTTGAAAACTCAAACCTATGATTATATGTATATTTATTATATTACCTCACAGAATCCACCAGATATTATTTGAGATCGTCTCGTCTCCATATGTTTAGCTGAGTGTACTCTCAAATTCTCCGGCTTCAAAACATATCTTCTTGCATCAGTATCGCTTTCCTTGGAGTAAACTAGTTCTTTGCAATTAATTTCTTGTTCCTATAATAATTTAAATCACCTATTTATTTCTTACATATAATTATTATTTAACTGTTTCAATGACAGCTTAATTTTAATTATTATAATCAGAATAATAAAACTATTTTGATACATATATAAATCAGATAATCGTAAGTAAGCAATAACTAGAAAACTTTTTGCTTATGACTAAAAAAATTACACAAGAAATTGATTTAGGTCTACATCTATCTTTTCCAGTTTATCTACGACTATATTTTCCACTTTTTCTACGACTATATTTTTTTTACTCCACTTTTTTTTACTCTCTTTCAAATTTGGTTAGGTATAGAGAGGAGCTTGGACAGTGGAGGTGAGCGTATAACGCGCGTTAGATAGGACCCCTTAAACCTACACCTGGGTCGCAAGTCACAGTCACTGTTGAAGCTCCTCCCCCTGCAACGATGGACCCGGCACCCGCACGGTGAATACATTGAATGATAAGAGGTTTCGTCTCATACCCTACCTTATATATATATCTTCGTACCTTACACATGGTGTTCATAGCGTCAGAATCAACCCCATCCTTCGCACACACCATGTTTCCATCAATGATGTAGTGGTACCTCTCTGGCCAGCCAGCTTTACACTTTTGTTTCGATATCAATACAACATCAGTTTCTAGTAACTCCGGTGAGTTCATGGTCGATCTTCCAAAATTCTTATTAATGATATGAAATAATTAACATGAGAATTAAAATGCTTATATTGTATTATTTGGTTCTAGAACTTGGATAGTTCATACGAAAACGAATTAAAAATATTAAATTAAGATCTTACTTAATATCCAAATCACTGAATTCTATTTGAAATATTCAAAATTGAGGTATAATAACATATATGTTCATATATTTATTTTTTCTTTTTTCATGCAATATAAAGCCAATTAATAATTCTGTATACTTCATCTACTTCGTAAATTCTCAAACTACATCCTACCATAATATTATAATTGCGAAAGTTTGTGAGTGTGTGTGTATGTTTGTTACTTCTTCACGCTCCAACGGCTGATTCGATTTTGATAAAATTTTGTATACAGGAAGCTGATGTCTAGGAATAACATATAGGCTACTTTACATCCCGGAAATCCGCGTGTAACAACGCGGGGCGCAGCTAGTTTCATAATAGATATAGCTATCTATATTAATGGTTAAACATTCTTACATCCCCGAATCTTTCCACAGAGCCCCATCCAGCTATAGATGCTACAGTCCCCGCCGCCTCTAGTTCTTCAGATTGGTTATTGAAAGCTATTAATTTCGGTATAAAGTCACAACCACGTATTCGTCTATTGAAATTAAAGTCCTCTTCAACTTTAACAACAGCTATGTCATTTACCATCCAACGAATGTTCTCGAATTCTTTACCGTCGAAAACGTAATCTGATTTTAATATAAGAAAATAATATTATTATTTTAAAATTAATGCTTATTATATAACGTGTTGTGGATTTTAAAATAAAATGAAAAATATTTGTAGTTCAAGGATTATGTTTCATTTAAATGAATCCGCGCAATAAATGTATCTACAATACATATGTTTTGTAAATGTAAAGTATAAATAGATTTACATATATTTATAACAAAGTAGTACTGACATTAACTATATATCACCAGTAGATTAAAAACCTATGTATATTAAGTGATGTTAAAAACCTTACCTTTTGGTACACATTTCCACACAGCTTTCTTCGCGCCATATTTAATACAATCGTTTGACATGTCTAACGGTATCCATCTAAAGATTAAATTAATTTGATAATAATTAAATAAAAATGGAACACGTTATAGTAATACTTATAAAATTGTATATAAGAATAAAAATGAGACCAATAATTAATGGAATGAACGAATTCATTTGGAATATTCGAATAATATCATTCATTCCAAATCAAAATGATTCTCATATTACCTGTGTGTTCCTGATATAACGTAAAAATGCTGTACATCTTCAATACAAGCGGCTGAAGTGAGGACATATTGAGCGCTAATTATAACACCGCCACATAACCAATTGGAGTTTATAAGTTGCTTCGCGACTGTACCAGCAGGTCGGAGGTAGACCTACAGTTAATATTTGGTCTCATATCCTTAGTAATGTGAAGTACGAATCAAAGGAACGAAATAAATATAATAAAGAAATTAGTGACAAAAAGAAGTTAGGAAAATGCTTTAAATGAATATAAAGTTATGAGATAATTCTATTTAAATTTAAATATAAGTATATCACAGTCTCTTTCAAAGTTTTTCTTTAACAATATCTTCATACATATATTTATAAAAGGATTATAATGGATATACTATAAAACTGAACGTGATTAAGTCATCCGAACTTATTCAAAGAGTAATGAGATCTAAGATTTTAGCGATACTCATTTAAATTAAACTAATATTTTCGGATTTACTACGCGTTTTTATTTTTGACTATAACTACATACTCCGGACGTTTCGGCTAATTTACAGAAACCGTGATCAAGGGCATATCTCGTCTGCCGAAAATATTAGTTTCATTCATTCTAAGAGTGTTAATAATCAAAACATTTTTAAATCAATATTTCGTTTATAATCTTTTAATAAATGTAACACACCATATAAGGTCTCGTGTCATCAACTTCTTCTCCTCTTAATATTCTTCGTGTTTCATTCAATAATTTGTTCCTCCCTAATATTCTTATCTGAGCTGATTGTGAAATTTATTTTAATTATTTATCAATGAAAGTTATTTATCAATGATAATTTATATCATACCTTCTCCAGTGCAAAAGTAAATCGCGATGAAAACAATTGAATGCTTCATACTTTTTATTCTCAGCAACAGTTGACGAATAAAGATTTTTATTTCACGAGTGAATTCACTTCATTATTGATGTTAATAGAAACGTACCACTCGGTCTATCAATAATTTTAATGTGTTATTTTTCGTCTCATACAAATTAAATAATAAAAGTTGTAGCTATTTTTTTGTTTTAATTAATGTAGAATATTTTATATAATATTTAAGTACTTTAAAAATTAAAAAAAGCGATTTTTTTCTGATACTAATAAATTGAATTAATGTGTTTGTAGAACAAATCATACACTTCGATAACTTTTAAGGATGTATGTTTATGCTATTCGCTCATAGATGGCAGCATTTTATACTTTATACAGTTAATAACTATTGAATAATAGATGGCGCTGAGAATTTGATTCGTAAAGCTTTCATGTTTTCTTACCAACGCGTTTGTTTATATATTCACAAGAATAAAAGGGTTCTAATATCTGAAATTTGTTACGAAAATAAAATTATTGATTAATTACTACAACTTTTTAAACCACCTATTTAATTTTTAAATTTGGTTTATTATCTTATACATTATTTTGTATTGATGAAATGATTTTCAGATTACACTGAAGTCGTTATACTAATTCTTATCAATTGATTATAATGAGAGTTTTGAAGGAATAAAACTATTAATTTTATATGATATCTAATATAAATATATTAAATATATTTCACTAATAAAAGATAACTTTGTCTTTTATGTTGATATGTTTAGAACCTTCTAAATTTAGTGACACTTACTTATAATATATGTAATATAGGTACATAAAGAAGTTACTCTAATATACCGTGTTTCATTCATTCGATCTAAAATTAACCATATTTTATTTAATAGTCAAACTAAACTTTTCTTAATAATTTTAAACCTTAATAGTTTATAAATAAAATTCAATATAAGTTATTAGCGGAAATGTATATACATATTCCAAAAGTCATAAAAATACATACCATTAGAGTCCCAAATAAATGTAATATTAATATCACGTTATTATAGGCTTTATTGTATTTGGCATAAGATCTAAAATGATTGATTAATGTAAAAGTAATTTGTGCTTCATCTATCATTGGAAACAAGCGTCATTATGGACAAGGTGTAGTTATCATAACATTTACATCATTACAGAAGGTAATACGGCTATTACAGCTAACGACTTCGGAATATGAAATCAATTTGAAATTGGAACATGTTTAATTTTTTTTTTTTTAGATCAGCTTATAATGACGTATGACGTATGTGTGTGTTGCCATTGTTATAAAAATTTTAAAATAAATATACTTTTTTAATATAAAAAATAAATTAAATTTAGAAAGTGTCATCTTTAAATACAACAAAGTTAATGAAACTGTTCCAATTATCTTTCGGACAGTAAAGAGGCAGCCTTAATCTAAACTAGCGGCGGTCTCAATACCGTTCAGTAAACTTTACGCGGTCTGTCTCAATTACATTGAACTAGTGATTGAACTTAGTCGATGTTTATTAAATAATATTATATCTGTTCTTGAAACAAGTTTTTTTTACTTTTGTTAGGAACATTATTTTGATTTTAATGAATTATACCTATATGTCTATAAATCTGTTTTAATACTTTCTGTTTTTTAAAAAATATTAAAATTACCAATAACAGAAATTTTGCACAAAAATACTACGTGGGTGCACAAAATATTATTTAGTTAAAAATATATCTTTTTTCTTCTTAGTAATAAAATAAATCTACGTAACGATCAAGGTCTAGCATTATTGCACTGAATCTTATATTTGTATTAATTTTAACGATATCCATCGACAAAGCATTTTCACCTCTAGCACCGCAAGAATGAGATGCCCTAAACTTAAATCCGTTTCCCGCCATCGCACAATCTGTTCCACAATTTGGACCAATCAGAGGGCCGGAGGGCGTTTTGGACTCGTGAACGCGGAACGCGATTGGTAGAAATTATTAAAACGCGTCGGTACAAAAAAATAAAGCTTAACAATTGAGTGCTTTTCCATTCCTGTTAAATTGATGAAAAAGGACTTACATCGCGATGAGATGAAATAATAATAAAAAAATATGATTTATTATAGACGTTGTTTAATTTTTTAACTTATTGGACATTAATGACTTTTGATATTGTTTTTAAAATTTCTCGTTTATTTTCAAATTGTCCAAACGAAAATAACGACTGACAGCTTACGTCACTTTGACTTTAACAATTTTTTGAGCAAAAATAATTTTAAGTGATTTCCTTCGTGAACTTTCATTGTTTTGTATAAACTTTAAATAGTTCAAATAGTATTTGTCATTACAATTGATATAAAAGGAGTGGATGAAGAGTTGTTTTGTTTGAAACGTTCGCTTGTTTTGTGGTTAGTTTTTGTTTTACAGATTGAGTTATTTTTTCAAATTAATCATTACATTTGTCTGTAAAGTTATATATAAGTTTTAAATAGGAAAACTCATTTTATGTAGTGTATTTAATAGTGCATACATTATTTTACACAAATTTCAGATCAAATGAGTTACTCGAGGAAATAAACGTGAGAGTGAAGACGAAATGGACACTTGGTAAACAGTTTAATTTGAGATTGACTTCATTCCGCCTCTGTGTCGACATGACGAAATTAAAGGTAAGATTATAATTATACATAATATAATTATGATATGTCTACTTGTAACTTAATATTCTTATTAAGTTATTTATATAATAGTCGTAAAAAAAACATTTCAATACATCGTTATTACAAGATTATTATTATGAATGTAAGATGAAAATAATCAAACGAATTTATTCTAAATTTAAAAAAAATGGCACTGTTTTCGAATTTGATTAATTTAGATCAATACTCTTATTACAAGGTGCCAGTATGACACTTCTTACGTAACGTTACTAGTTTTTTCTAAATTTTCGTGCGTCATAATCAAACGGTTTAATAAAAAGAACTCACAAAACTTCGTATTTGTCGTTGCGAACTCGTAGTAAAGCTAGTATAGGTATTGCTTTTAAAGGTTCAAAAACAATGACGGTATCAGGAGTCGAGACTATTTGATAATAAATTCACGTTCAAGATAAACTTCACTAGTTTCTGTGACACACAAAGAGACGAATTGTATTGTACGACAAAGAAGTGAAAATATCTACTTACAATATGCTTACTGTACAAAAATATGATTAAATAAAGAACAGGTCATATTTTTAAAATGTATTAGGTACCACTTATATAAATAACTAGCTTTCCGCCCGCAGCTCCGCCTGCGTGGAGTTCGGTTATATCGCGTTTCCAAGAGAACCTTTCAAAAATCTGGGATAAAAACTATCCTGTTCTTTCTCAAGGTCAATTGTATCTCTGTACCAAATTTCATTAAAATCAGTTCAGTGATTTAGGCGTGAAAGCGTAACAGACAGACAGAGTTACTTTCGCATTTATAATATTAGTAGGGATTAGTAGGGATGATATCAAAATTATTAGAGAAAAATAAGTTTTATTAAGAGATGGCAATCAAAAAATGTATACAAATAATAATTCAATATAAACCTTACTTAAGTGTATCATCAGCTTTACATCTCACGGCAACGTGACGTGGGCGACACCGATACGATATCATGACGACTTTATACCGACCACACGATTTATTCATTACGATAGCGATGCTCCAATAGTTTCAATTGTAACTCGCGAATGTTGATACATAAATAATGCTTATACGATCCTGGTACATACTGGCATTTTTTGTTATTTTATTTAACGAATCTACTCTTTTAGGTTCATTTGATAATTTTAATAGAAACATTACATTTAAAACTACGATATGATAATTCATTTATTAGTCAAGAGAATATCTTAAATGGAAAATTAACTGGTATGTCACATTCTGAAATTAATTATTATATATTAAAAATAATATAAATTATATGTAAAAGTTTATTATAAACTAACTTTATATCTAGTATTTAAAACGCTAGCGATGTTGTGTCTCAATAAAGCGCGGTCCACACGACAGTAAATTGAAGCGCGTCAGTTACTTGATAAGTGAACAAGTAACTGTCTGATACCGCGTCGTGTAGAACCTGTTTAATTATTGGCTTTGAATAGTTAAAGTGAACGAGGTTTTATGTTACATGGCGTTATATTAGAAGAAATGTTATTTATTTAAACAGGCATGCATTTAAGTTGCATTACTGATATTAAAAACGGGAAAGTGTGTGGATGTTTGTTACACTTTTACGCGGAAACTACTGAATGAAGTTTAATGAAACTTCGTATTTGTAAAGCTTGTCTTCTTCTTCCTGGCAAGTTCTGGGAACTTTAGCCAGGGTCTGCCTTACATGTTGTGAATGGATTTGGCTAATTGTTTTTACGACCGGCCGCCTGAATGACATCAACCCTCTTTGGGAATGCATTAATCAGTGATTTCTAAATACTCTTAGAAAGTACATATGAGTCGGAAAAGTCACATTGGTACTTGCCAGGGGCCAGGATGGAACCCGCGGCCTCGTTCATGAGAGGTGGGCCTTTTATCCACTAGGTCACCACTGACTCTGATTTATATAGCTTGTATAATATAATAATAGGGGAGAGTTGGTTATATCGTACTAGCATTTAAATCGTACCACTTCTAAATTTCCCATTTAATGAATATTTTTTTCTACACTGACAACGCCAAATTGTGGCTCTGCACCATCCCTCTTCACCCACTAGTTTAAATCAACGTGAGTTAACAATTGTGCACGTAATAAAAGAAAAACATTTTTTGTAGGAATTAATATAAATATTGTCGTACATTCGTAAGGAGATAACTCGTAATCAAGGTAAGCTATAGTTATTCAGTTTTTTTTTATTATTCCACAATTGTATACTAGATTATTGGGGGTTTTTGTTGCGTGTCTAAGTTTTGAGTTTATGCCGGATATTTGCTTTTGTTTTAGAAATGCCTTAGTTGGTTTAATCGTACCACTTGCAGTTGGTTAAATTGTACTGGTACGATTTGCCCGAC